CCACTGAGGGTTAGACACAGCAAATAAGAAACGGCTATGAGGTGAGTACCTTTTCCCATGCAGGAGGTGCTTTGAACAAGTCTTGTCCCTTTGTTCTTGTAAACGTCCCTGTTTCCTTCTCTGCTAAGTGATCTGGACAGCCCATGCTTTTCTTCTGTGCCTGATATTTTCACATACACTATGAGGAAAGCTAGCTGACAGTGGCCTAGACTGAGTTATGTGAAGGTATTTTTTGAGGCAGAGAAGGAAGTGGCTACACAATTATTAAGGTTTTTAGTAATAAGCTGGGTTTAAATTAATTCTAAAATTTTGTTTGATACTGAAAAATGGCTTTGGGCAAGGAGGGTTTCTAAGTAAGCAAGAGTTTCTACCTTTAGAAATTTCTATTCTATCTTCTGCCTGGATGATAACAGTTCCTATGGTAGGAAAAGGCCTGGGATTGTTCCAGGGTCTTGAGCTTCAGGTGCTTAACCTGCTCCCCCAGGAGGATTAAAGAGCTGTGGAAGAGGTGCCTTGCTTGTGGTTTGTTGAGGCTACAAAGAAAAGTCTCCCCATGGGAATCTAACGGACAGACAATATGTTGGCTGTGTTGATGAGTCATGGGTTCTAAGCATAAGAAAACTAAATTGGATATTGAGAGCATGTGCGGTTGGTCTCTGAGACTTCTTTCACGATCTGAAATTCCACCTTTAGTGATTCAGCCTCTAGATCTTTAAGCTCTGCAGTCTAGATAACTGAATGGAGATAGTCTTCAAATTTAATAAGCAGGGATCTAATGAAAAAAAAAAAAACCCCACAAAAACCAAAAAAACAATCAACTGACTAACAAAATAGATCCAGAGATATGGGTGCATGGAGCAGACTGACAGATCTCAGAGGGGAGGAAGGTTGGGGGAGGGGAGTGGGAAGAGATGAACCAAAGAAATTATATGCATATATGCATAGCCCAGGGACACAGATAATAGAGTGGTGAAGGCTTGGGGTGGGGTGGGAAGGGGAAGGGAGGGGAAATAGGAGATATCTGTAATAATGTAAACAATGCAACAAAACAAAATAAACTTTTTTTTTTTTTTTAAGCAGGGTTAGTTTGTTTTTGCCTCAGTTCTACTACTAACTGTGGTTAGACAAAATTTCTCAGCATTTATTTATAAGATGGGAATCTTGATGCCTGCCTTATCCTAAAAATAAAGAGCCAAAGTGAAAAGCAACAAGCATTTCTTGGAGATCACAGAATTGCAATTGGGAAGCACAGGTTCAGGCAGAAGCCCAAATTGTGTCCCAATTGCAGGAGGATTTTATGGGAAAAGGAGGGGCTATCATTATATGAAACAAGGAAAGAACTTTCTATTGTTGTTAGCAAATGAGTTAGTTTTTAGCTATACATGCAGATTACTAATTCTAAAGTTATGTCAGTCCTTGTGGTTAGGGTGTCTGCTTTCCTGCTAGCTTACAATTGTTTGCAAAACAATGTGACTCAGCCCAAAGATTATTCCGTCCAGTTCAAACATTTCAAAGGTGTAAGGACAAGATGTAAGGCAATTCCTCTAGAATAGCTTTTCTGGCTCCATTTTAAAATGGTACCACTCATATCAACTTTCACACCTGCCTGATCAATTTTGATATAGGAATTTTATGGGAATATAATAATATGAAATATATATTATGAGCATTAGAGTAAACTTTTGAACAATTTTGACTAGAGGAGAGACACCTCATTGATAGATTTAGGCTAATAGGAGGGAACAGTTAATATACTCCAACTTCAATCCCAAATCTCAAACCTAACCTCACCCACCCACCCATCCTAACATCTTGGCAAATAATTTATATATCCTTGCTTCTCACCCCCATTTTGCAACTAAGGTGCTTCTTTTCTTGGCTTAGTACACATTAATTTAAAGGCTGACTTAATTAAAAAGTGGAATCTATACTTACAGAAATGTCATGTCATTGGGCTGGGTTTGAGATAAACAGGGGTGCAGAGAAATGAAGATTTAAAAAATTTAAAGGAAAGATGAAATGAAAGAGAGAGAGAGAGAGAGAGAGAGAGAGAGAGAGAGAGAGAGAGAGAGAGACTTTTTGTCCACATGGATTTATAGACCGTCACTACATAAATGCCAGTATGTATGGTTGGAACATAGGAAAGAGACGAGGCTGGACAGCTGGGCCTGGGAGATATCGTGATGACCTTTGATTACAAACCACAGACTTTCTATTTTATCTGGAGAACCTTTGAAGACTTGAACACAGGAGGACCCAATGGCCCAGTTTGTGCTGCAGGAAAATCAATTCAGCTGCAGTGTGCTGAATGGATACAGGGAGCAGAACGAGTAGAAACAGGAAGTGGTGCTGAAGCAGGGGTCACAGTTCAGGTCAGAAATGATGGCCTGGCTACAGCACTTCCAGAACAGGTGGAGAGAAAGGAGCAGAGTTGACAGGTATTGGAAAATTAGTCTGACTTAGCTGGTAACTGGTTGTGAGAACTAACAGAGAGGAGGCAAAAAAGTTACCCAGGTTTTTAAAGAAATTGTGATTTTTCTGTTCCTCAAGATATGAGTTATTTGAGAAGCAGCCAATTTGGCAAGATTAGTAGAAGTTGGGAACAGGATATTGTTGGGAGAGATGATTTCATGTTTAAAATCTGTTGAATTTGGTTAAGTCTGTGGGACATCCAAATGAGATATCCAATAAGCAATCGCCTATATGAATCTAAATTTCTGAGCTAGAAACTCAGGTTGGACTGACCTTTGTGAAGTCATATGAGTGGTGAAGATTGCTCAAGAGAGTGAGGATTGTTATGAAAGTAACACAGGGAATATCAACAGTTATGAGGAACCAGAAAAGTAGGTGAAAACCACCGAGATAGAATGATATTGAGTAATCCAAAGGTGGAAAATTTGCAAGAGGAGGGTGTGGTCGATATGCTAGATGACTTAGACAGTGCCCATTGTATTCCGAGGCTAAATCGCTGGTGACTGGCAAGAGCAGTTTCAGTGAAATGCAAGAAACAAAAGCTATGCCAGTAACATGAGGAAGCTAATGCAGACAGGGTGGAATTGTCTTTTTGGAAAGATAGCTATAATAGGAGAAAGGAAGTTAGGGAACCTAGAGCTGAACACTGAGTCATCAAGAGTTTAGGATGGTTTGGAATGATATATTTATGAGAGGAAAGAGTGACTTCAGAGGGAGAGTTTGGTAACTCAAGAAAGAGGAAGGGTAATTGGACCAAGATTTTTTTAATGCTAATAATTTTATATTTATTTTTATTTAAGTATAGTTGGCATATAATTTTATGTTTGTTATATTAGTTTCAGATGTACAATATAGAAATTCAACATTTTTATACCTTAAATGTAATCACCCCACTAATTCTAGTAATCATCTGTCACCAGGTAAACATATCACAATATTATTGAACATGATTTTTGAGAAATTCAAAGGCTATGAGTACTAGAAAATAGTAACAAGGATCATGCTTAGACAAGAGGAGGGAAAACTTTTCCACTGAGAGGGAAAGTATGAGAATTTACCTAGGTGTAAAAAAATTTTTATAGAAAAACACTGGTTGAGAAGCAGGGAGATGCAATCATTTCTGCAAAATAGTTTCTGTTTGTGATGTTGAAGATGATATTGGCTGAAGGTGCAAGTGCAGGTGACAGAGGTTGGGGCTTGAAAAGAAAAAGCATGTTAGAAATTTATGCTGTGAAAAATGAGAGGCAAGACTGTCAACTAGCATGCCAGAATATTTGGGAGAGTATGAACCCAGTGGCATTTACACAGGGCTAAGTGCATGAACCAAGGACAGATATTTGGATGGATAGTTTCATTGGATAGATTTAGGTAGCAGACAAGGTAGCAACGAAGATAAGAGCAATAGATATTGAGGCCTACATCACTTGGAGAGAAAACCAGGAAGGGCTAAGAGACTAAAAAGAAATGAAAGAGAATAGAAGCCTCAATATGGTCAAAGGATAGGGTAACAATGCAATGAGAGTAAAAGGATATGAGCTTCTGACCAGTAAATAGGAAGCAGAGGTTAAGAGTTCAAAGTGGAACTGGAGGGTGATAAATTCCAGGACATTAGCCAACGTTTGAGTTGATGGCAATAGAGTGGTGATGTGAGCCACTGAAGTTAAAATGTATCATTTGATATAATTAGCATATATCTACAAAATGTGCTCAGATTCAGGGAATACCTCCTGAATCTGAGCACATTTTGTAGATAAAGACACACATATCCAAATAGCTAAAATACCCATCTGTTAGTAAAAAAAAAAAAAAAAAAAAAAAAAAAAAAAAAAAAAACAGCCAAGAATTGAAGTCCTTTGATTTCCCTCCAATAAAACAAATACTTAAAAACTTGAATCTATGCATCATCTTCAGGGCTTCTGTGAACCACCAAATTTATATGGGTATATGTTATAAACATATAAGCAAGCATTATATTGGTGATCAAGATTAGGTGGGTTTTTGTTACCAGATTATAAAAAAGGATTAGTGGCCTTTAAACAGTTCAACACCTCAACATCATGGCATGGGAATTATTAAAAGAAGAATTGGATTCAGGTTTTGCTGCTATTTCTGTCCCTGACTGTACTCTCCTCTCTACTGCCCAGGGTGGTTGTGGAGATCAAAGTGGCATCTGGAAGGGCTTTTCTGAACCATATCAACCCCTCATCTATCTTTCTCCTGGACTTCATTCCTCTTCTTCCTCTCTCCCTCTCATTCTTCCTGTTTGATGTATTTTTTTCCTTGGGCAATACTCAATTCTTCTGCAGACAAAAAGGGCAAGAGCTATAGTAGTGTTAGATGCATAGATAGACTTAGATGGAGACATTGTGATGATTGGAAAAATATATTCTCTAGATTATTTAAAGAGAAATGCCAAAAATCTAGTCATTTTATAAAAGAATTCCCATTCTAATCATAATGCCTAGCTATTCTTTTGGATTAATGTGACTTTACGGTTTTCTTTAATCTCGTTATCTGTGTCCATCTAGATGGCGAGGAAGCTTAGTGTGTTGGAAGTCACTCTGTTCATCTACTTCCTAATTGTATTTGCTGCGGATATCTTATTGGTGTACCTGCTGATTAAGAATTCTCCAGGTAAGCAAGATACTCATGCTGCTGAGTTGGAAGGAAGTCCCTTCAGGATGCCAAAAAAAATCATCTTATTCCTTTACTCCTCAGCATTCCACCAGACTGCATCATTTATAACTCACATCCATAGCTAATTTAAGTCACTCTCCAAAAGCTGTGTTCTTTTTCTGCAACTAATCCTTGATTGCTCATGATATTCAGGGTCTCACAAGTATCATTTGAAACAGATTTGACAAGATACACAACGAGGCCCATCAAATGCTTGTTTTTCAACCTAAAGTCATGAGGTAATAGAACCTTCAAGGAAGAACAGTTGAGGTACCGTGCCCAATCCCATTACATGATACGGCAAAGGACATTAGGTTACAGGGAAGGGGAGGGCTGATACACTTGGCTTACATATATTGATTACAATTAGCCTCCAGCCCATATTCTGACTGGAATAGCTATGGTTTCTTCATAGATATCTTTGAAACTGTTTTCTCTCTCACACAGAAGCATCCAATCTCTTCACCACTCTCCACAGTAAATTGACACTTTCTAGAAACAATTATGACTTTGAAAGATGATTTGAAAACCATTGATAAAAACTGTCTTTGACCTATTACTGCTTTTACCCTATAAATATTTTTGGTGTCACAAGTCCTGTGAGAATACTGTCCAGGGTATATGAATAAGAAGTTTCTTTTATTTAACATAAAATTAGATCTTTGAACCTGCGTTTATTCTAAACAACATTCTAATTCATGCAGAATGCTTTAAATTTTAAATGTTTTACATAGTGGACTTGCCCTATGGAGGTGTTTTTCCAAGAAGTTTCCATAAATTGAAAAGTTTTCATTTCATTTTTTTTTAATGTGGTAAGAACACTTAAAGTGAAATTTACTCTCTTAACAGGTTTTTCAAAGTATAATACAGCATTGTTATCTATAGGTACAGTTTTGTACATTGTATCTGTAGAATTTATTCATCTTGCATTATTGAAATTTTATACATTATTTATCAACACACTATTGTCCCCTCTCCCTAGCCCATGGCAACTATCATTCTGTTCTTTGCTTTAGTGACTTTTGACTGTTTTTGATACATCACATAGGTAGAGTCATATACTATTGGTCCTCTGTGCCTGGCTTATTTCACTTAGCATAACATTTTCAAGCTTCATCTAAATTGTTGCAAACGACGAGATTCTTTTTCTTTTTTAAGGCTGGATAGTATTCCATTTCATGTAATATAAATATTCCATGTATATAGCATACTTTCTTACCCATTCATCCATCAATGGACATTTGCGTTGGGTTTACATCTTGGCTGTTGTGAATAGTGCTGTAATGACATGGGGATGCTATTATGTATTTGGAATTCTGACTTCAATTCTTTTGGATAAATACCAAAAAAGTAGGCTTGCTGGATTGTATGGTAGTTCTATTTTTAAAATTTTTAGGAACCTCTATAACGTTTTCCATAATGGCTGCACCAATTTGCAGCATTCCCACTAGTAGTATTCATGGGTTCCAGTTTCTCCACATCCTCACCCATTCTTGTTTTCTTTGTAATAGCCATTCTTACAGCTGAGCTGTTCTCTCACTGTGGCTTTGATTTGAATTCCCCTGATGATTAGCGACATTAAGTATCTTTTCATATACCTGTTGCATATTTGCATGTCTTCTTTGATAAGATGTCAATTCAAGTCCTTAACCCAGTTTTAAAGCAGGTTATTAATTTATGTTTGTTTATTTGTTTTGTTTTTGCTATTGAGTTGTAGGAGTTCCTTATATATTTTAGAAATTGCCCCTTTTTGGATACATGGTTGCAAATATTTTCTCCCATTCCTTACGCTGCCTTTTCACTCCATTAATTGGGCTTTTGTTGTTGTTGCTGTTTTGTATGCAGAATCTTTTAGTTTGTTTTAGTGTGGTTGTCTGTAATTGGATGGTAGTGATTTGTTGCACAATTTTATAAAATACCAAAACCAACATTGAGTTGTAAACTTTAAAAAGGTGAATTTTATGGCCTGTGAATTGCATCTCAATAAAAACCAACCAAACAGAAAGCAAATGATCCTGATGAACTTGTGCTAAAGAACCAAGATTTTCTCTCTGAGTAGTTTCTATGAAAATAACAAAATACTTGTCAATACTATATCTTTTCCAAATGAGAATGGGGCAGAAACATAACTTATATGTGTGGAGGATAAATGAATATAAATAAATATAGAATAAATATAAAAATATATTTTTTTGCATTTTTAAATTAAAAAATCTGTATAAGTTCATTCTTTTAATATATTTTAAAAGCAAATGTTTTTAACACTTGGAAAATGTATACAAATGTAGATTGCAGCTATTAGTGTTCACTGACTGGAGAATTGGCTGAAAGTCTGACATTGACTGCTTCATTCCCCGAACCGGGATTATGCTACATGCAGGTTTTTAACTTTGTTCTTTAATTTTTACGCAGATACTCCATTTACTCCACAGTGCGATGCAATCCCTGAATCACAAAGGATAGACTGTACGCCTGGCATCAGGGTGACAGAGGTCAGAGAAATGGACGACCTTCCATTGACTTGCTGGGTTTTAGTTAAAAGAAATGAGTGTGTAAAGTGGGGAGAGGGTGGTGGTGGAGTAGGTTATGGAACTCTATTTGTTTGGAGTTACTATTTCTTTCTTGTCTTATTGAAATAAACAGCACTAAAGAAGTGAGGGAATAGAATAGTGTAAAGATAAGAGGAGTAGGAAATAATAAGAGTGTTGACCCATAAAGTTTGAAATCCAGAGTTCCTAGTGGAGGGTTAGTCCTAGGGCAGCCATAGAAAGATATTTTTAGGGTTGGGCCATGTATCCCTTGAGAACAGAACCCATCAAGCACATATGGTTGACTGAGTCACTTGGTTAATTCAGGTGAATTATTATAACAAACGTCTTCTGGAATCATATTATTGGCCAGAGATCCTGATGAACTTGTGCTAAAGAACCTAGATTTTCTCTCTGAGTAGCTTCTATAAGAATTTAAACTATTTGAACCCTGCTAGTTTTGATTTAAAACTATAAAATAAAGGTTGTATGCACTTAGGTTTTATTGCTTTACTTCATATTTTATATTCTATATCCCATAATATCTTAGCGGGATGTTAGTAAGTACTACATTTGAGTTTTAGGTTAAAATTAAGGCAATATTGACATTTCAACAGTTTTGAATCATCCCATTTTAAAAACATAAAAGTATTTCCATTTTAACTTTTGTTTTTCTTCATATGTATTGTATTACATATGCATTAGGAAGGTTTTTTTTTTCCCTAGATTTTTTATATGCATAGTTTCTATTGTAAATACAATCCATTATATTTTCTAAGTAGTACTAATCTGTTATTGTAATGATATTGAAAATGAGACAACCAGCTGTGTGTCTCAGTAGTTGAGCATAGACCTATGAACCAGGAGGTCATAGTTCGATTCCTGGTCAGGGCACATACCTGGGGTTGCAGGCTCGATCCCCAGTAGGGGACCCACAGGAGGCAGCCAATCAATAACTCTCTATCATCATTGGTGTTTCTATCTCTTCCTCTCACTTTGTCTCTGAAATTAAATATATATATGTTATTATATATTTATTTATTTATTTATTTATATGAATGGAAATATATATATTTATATTTTTATATATTTCCATAAGAACATATATATTCTTATGGAAAATAACAATAGTTAGAAAATAATAATAATACAAATAAGCTTTGTTTCCTGTATCTACAACTATAAATCTACCTTTGTTCCACCTGTATATCTCTTAAACATCTGACCTTTGGTTTCTGTGGTACTGATAATGGCTTAAAACTGAAATAAGGATGTTAGGGCAGACTGCATGCACAAAAAATTTTGTTTACCTAAATGTAGTAGATTTCTTGTCTTATTGATCTTTATAGAGGTCAGTGGACTTTGGAACAATTTATGGCAATGAAACTAACCTTCTGGACTTTATAGACCTCAGTTTCAGAGGCAGCAGAAGTACTTAATGTCTGCTTCAAACTTAGGAAAATCAGTTATCTAGTGGTTATCCAGCACCCCCAAACTCTTTTACCAATGACCCCCCCCCCTAGACTTTTGTTATCTGAAGAGGATGGGTCAGGAACATAATTTACATGCAGGAGAAATAAATTAATACATTAAAAAAAATTTTCTGGTTATAAAATAGAATACTGCTCTATTTTTCACCTCTCTAACCCCTCCTAGTGCATTAGGACTGAGCTTACTTGGTTTATAATAAGTATGTGAACATGGATGGAAGATATATTCTTGTGGTTTTTAGAGCAATTATATCAGATGTCAGCATCTAAAATACTTGTCAGTATATACCTTTTCCAAATGAGTAGTGTTATGACATATTCTTTTGGTATTTTTTTTTTCCGGTTCTGGACTTTTATTCCTAAAATTTGACTATGAATTCAGGGAAGTTGTAAAAGAAATAGCTGATGTAGGCTTTGATTTGAGGAGTTTACAATACAACCAGGAATTATAATTTTGGACCTGGCATCATGATAATTACCTTGGCTTTGGTATTAAACATCATAATGATTTTTTTCTTTTACCTTGGGATGGTGAACAGACACAGTTAAGGGAATTGTGATTTATAAGATATATATATAAGAAATATATATAAGAAATATTTTTAAATAACAAAATCTATAAATACATTCTTTTAATAAGAAATATTCAGATATTATAGTGGTGTACAGAATAAAATGGGAAAGTCTTACTCATTTATTAAGCTTCCTCTCTACCTCCAAATGCCTTCCCCAGACTCAATTAATAGCTTGGTGTGTATTTTTCCCTTGGTCTTTCTATGCTTTTGAATATATTTATATATTTTGCACATATATTTATGTATTTTTTGTTTTGTTTTAACACAGATTCAATTATACTGTGTATGTTATATAATTTGCTCTTTAATTTTAGGTTATTTAAATGTATCACATTATTCTATTTTAAAAATAGTTTGCATCTGTTGAGATGGCCATATGATTTTTTATTTTGTCAGTGTTGCTTAATTAATTTTGAACCATTCCAGCTTTCTCTTGATAACCCTTACTTGGCCAGTATGTATTAAATTTTAATGCACTAATTAATTAAAATATAACATCTAATTAAAATTGTATACATCATGTTTTTAAGTGAAATAAGCTCAGTATATATTTTTGGTTAATTATTTATTTGGACTTTTCTTGCTAGTTTGTAGTCAAAATTATTCTAGTTTAATAAAATGAGTCAGGAAAGTTTCCACCTTTTCCTATGTTCTAAAAATATATTGATATAGAATATGAGAATAGTCTATTTCCCAAATTATCTGGGCAAAATGTCATTTTTTTGGGGGGGTAGGGATCTTTGACTATTTATAGTTTCCCATGGCTACTGGTCCTTTTAAGGTTTTCTATTTATTCCCACCTAGTTTTCATTATTTAATATTATACTATTTAAAGATTCAAATTACAGTTTCACATTTATTGGCATATATATATATAAATAGTTGTCTCATAATTCTTTTATTTGTGTTAAAAAGCCATATGTATCTGTTGTCATTCCCATTTTTGTTTCTAATCATGTTTGTCTCCCTCTCTTTTTGTTAAAGGAGAATTTGATAAGAAATAATTGTATTTTTAAAAATATATATTTAATTGATTTTGTACAGAGAGGAAGGGAGATAGATAGAGAGTTAGAAACATCGATGAGAGAGAGTCATCAATCAGCTGCCTCTTGCACACCCACTTATTGGGGATATGCCTACAACCAAGGTACATGCCCTTGACCGGAATCGAACCCGGGACCCTTCAGTCCCCAAGCCCACGTTCTATCCATTGAGCCAAACCAGTCTCGGCAGAAATAATTGTATTTCTTTGATCTTTTCAAAGAGTCTCCTTTATATTTATTGATCTGCTAAACTAAAAGCAAAATATATCCTGACACTATAGTAATTTTCAGTGTGGAATCATTGCAGGAATTGATACATATGTCACTGGAACATAATAGAACATCTCAAAATATATATTCATATTCTCATATATGTTCAATTAAACTTAGTTTATTATAAAAATGGCATTTCAAATCAGTAGTGGAAATAAGGTCTATTTAATTAATGGTGGTATCTGTCTCATTTACTATGCTTGCTGACAGCACTGTGTCATGTGACCTTATCCTATCTGTTAAAAGAGTAATATGCAAATTGACTATCATTCCAACACACAAGATGGCTGCCCCCATGTGGTTAAAGATGGCTGCCCCAATGTGGACACAAGATGGGCAATGCAAGATGGCCAGCAGGGGAGGGCAGTTGGAAGGGACAGGCCTGCAACGGAGGGCAGTTGGGGGTGACCATGCCTGCAGAGGAGGGCAGTTGGGGGTGATCAGGCCTGCAGAGGAGGACAGTTGGGGTTGACCAGGCCTGCAGAGGAGGGAAGTTGGGGGGTGACCAGGCATGCAAGGGAGGACAGTTAGGGGTGACCATGCCTGCAGGGGAGGGCAGTTAGGCCAAACAGGCTGGCAGGGGAGCAGTTAGGCACCAATCAGACTGGCAGGGGAGTGGTTAGGGCTGATCAGGATAGTATGCAGAAGTGGTTAGGGGCAATCAGCAAGGCAGGCAGGTGAGTAGTTGGGAGCCAGCAGTCCTGGATTGTGAGAGGCATGTCGAACATCCATTGAGGGGTCCCAGATTAGAGAGGGTGGAGGCTGGGCTGAGGTACATACACCCCCCATACATGAATCTTGTGCACTGAGCCTCTAGTACTTATATAAATACCTGAACAGAGCAGGCACTCATTTCATATTTATTTATGTATTTATTTATTTTTAATATATTTTATTGATTTCAAAGAGGGAAAGAGAGAAACATCAATGATGAGAGAGAATTAAATTATCTATCTGCTGCTTCCTGCATGCCCCCTACTGGGGAATCTATCCTGCAACCAAGGCATATGCCCAAACCAGAAATTGAACCATGACCTCCTGGTTCATAGGTTTATGCTCAACCACTGAGCCACACCAGGCCTGGCTCATTTCATTTTTAATCTCTATACTGACTTGGCTTAGAGCACTTCTTTTTCTCTACTTGTGTTTTGGACTATGAATATAGTTTCCCCTAGAGTTGATAACATCTATTTTCTATATTTCATGAATTTCATAACATCAGGTCTGCCATATTGTATATTTTGCTATCTTATAGTGAATTTGTATTTTTTTTTCTTAATGGTATTTCTATTACTTTATGTAAGTTTACTTGGGTGAAGAGATGAGTGCCTGTGTTCAGTCCAACTCTTTGAATCAGTTTGCCACTTATTTAATCCTCTCTAATAAAAGAGAAACATGCAAATTGACTGTACCTTTGCTACACCCACAAACTATGCCCACCAACCAATCAGGGTGAGTATGCAAATCAACCCAACCAAGACAGTGGTTAATTTGCGTACCCAGGCCAGAGCAAAGACCAAAGACAGTGTAGAAAGAGCCAAGTGCTGCAGAAGGGAGTGAAGCTGTGGAGAAGCAAACAGGCAGGGCGGTGTAGAAGAAAGGGAAACAGGCAGAGTCGGGGAAAAGGGAGAGAAACAGGCAGGGCAGTGGAGACCACCGCAGCAGGAAACCCTATTGCAGGAATCTTCCTTCAAGGGGCCTCTAGTTTATTATAACAAAACAAATTTTTAAGTAAGTTCATCTGAAAATTGTAGGACCTTTAGAAAAGAAACAAAGGTAATTTTAAAAATGTATAATCAAACCACTCTGAGAAGCCACATGTGATATTTTTAATGTCACCCTTTGTCCTAGTTCTACCTTAAGTATTTCTATTTTCCTTTGCTTTACTTTTCTCACCTTTTAGAAAACATGTCTTGCTGACGTATTGTTAGCCATGTCCATGCCTCTTCCTCCTGAGAAAGCTCAATCCACTTGGTCCATATCCAGATCACCTCTGAGTGCATGTAGTGTGCCTCTGGGCTCATTTCTCATACTCAGTGTTCTCAGCCCAATGGACTGGTGGCTTCTCTGGGTCTGTCATGCATGGCTGTTTTGTTGGCTTAGAATACTGCTCTATTTTTCACTTCTCTAACCCCTCCTGGTGCATTAGAACTGAGCTTACCTTCTACTTACCCGGAAGCCCTCCTCCTCCACTTAGGTAGCCTTTTAGCTGGGTAAGAGGCCTGGTGTGATTCCCTTAGCCCCTGTGAAGAACTGTGTATTCCAAGACAGACACTGTATCTTACCTATCTCGATTCTTAGTTCTTTGTCTGATAGGAAGTAAGTGCATATTGGATGGCTGGCTAAGTGTATAAATAAATGACTGAAAGTAATTATGAGCGATCTTAAATTCTTCTTGGGAAAACTGGTTATAAATAAACAGACATATAATACTTTCCTTCCTTCATTTCATATAATGCTAACTCTGTGCATTGTTACAGGAAATCTGCAGTTGGAAATATAATTGCTGCTGGAACCCTGTGTCAGACATCAGAGTCCCCACCTGCTTCTTTCCCAGGAACTGGGGCTATGAAGTCAAAGATGACCCTAAAAATGAAAGCACAGGTGAGCACTGTGTTCCCCAGCAGCTCTTTTTTATAGTTGTATAATTCAATACTATTGTTATTTATATTCAAAGCACTTCTTTTTATTTATTTTTCTATTGAATTTATTAGGGTGACATTGATTAATAAAATAGTATAGGTTTCAGGGATATGATTCTATAATACATCATCTGTATATTGTATTGTGTGTTCACCGTCCCAAGTCAAGTCTCCTTCTGTCACCATTTACCCCTCCTCTTTACCCTTTTCTATCTCCTCCCACCCCTTTCCCTCTTATAATCATCATACTGCTGTCTATGCCAATGAGGTGTGTTTTGTTTTGTTTTTGTTTTTGTTTTTGTTTAATCCCTTCACCTTTTCTACCCGGCCCCCAACCCCCTTCCCTTCTGACAGCTACAACTCTTTATGGCCAGATTGGTTGACTGCAAAATAAAGGGTAAACTTCTCTCTCTCTCTTCCTCTCTCTCTCCTCTCTCCTCTCCCTTCTCTCCTCTCTCCTCTTTTTGTCCCCGCAACTGCAGGGTTTACTGCTACGTTGAAAAAGTTGAAAACCTCAGATCGATTTGAAAATGATGTCGAGGTGGCCTGCTTCACAGCTGAGTATCAGACACCCAGGCGACTTCATTTTAAGGTCAGTTTGGTAGTTATCGTTGAATATAACTCCGAAGAACACAGGGCTCGGCTTATTCTCCTTTATGCACTGCATAAAACTGTGGAAGCAGATGTACCTCTGTTTCTCTCTGCAGAGAATCTCCAGATCTGATGGGCAGGCTCATTTTTTTTTAATGGGGGACAAATGATTGGGGGGTTTTCTTCTTACAAGTCAGGAAGCATAGGGTTAAGAATGGGAAGCTATTTTTCTTTGGGGGGTAACTGGGAGTGAGAATACTTTGTAGCTCTAAAGGGAAGTTTCGTGTTCCTGAGCTGCCCCTTCTGTTTTTCTCCTGACAGATCACTGATTCCTATAACAAACGCTATGAAGTCTCCCATGAGCATGTTCAGCTGTTTAATAGGACTGCTGGTTCCACCAACCCGAGCTATCACATTGAGCTCATAAAGAAACCCTTTGGCATCAAAATAATGAGGATGAGCAACAAAAAAGTCTTGTGAGCGTTTCAACACTCTTTGCATATCTTTGAATATACAGTTCCAAAGTCATTCACTCTGACTTCCTGTGGGCGGATGATCAGCTCAGTATATTTGGGCAAATGTTTGAATCTCAGAAACAGTCAAAGCTTTCAAGTAAAAATCATTAATGCTGTGAATATGTAATGATGACAGACCAATAAAACTAAAATGTGATGTGCTGGTTTGCTGAGTCATATAAATATTCTTGTAGTTCATAGATAAGATGAAATAGGGAATTTTATTATTTTGGATTACCATTCACAATGGAACTCACCTTCACTGTTCAGCATTCCAAATTATGACTTCCTGAGAAAATTACCATCCAGCCCCTAATGAGAGCCTAAACTTAAGTCATAAATTGTACTGGCGGACATACAAGAATTAACATCAGGAAAAGCTGGATTCAAATCCCAGTACTAGTAGGTCACCAGTCAGCTATGAGGCCTAGGTCCTCACCTGCTCAGTCTGTTTCTTGTCCATAGAAAGGGAAACAAAACATCTGCTGTTGCTACATGTACTGAGGCCATGTTTATAAAACACCCAGTGTAGCACAAACATGAAGTAGATGCACAGAAAATCTAAGGTCATGTCTGCTCGCCCCATAATCATCCCAGTTGAGTTTTTGGTATCAAATTTCCAATGCTGTGCTCCTCTGGAATTAAAGAATCAGAGACACCCTAGAAAGGCCTTCTCCAAAAGCATGAACGTGGATGGTAAGACCTGAAACAACTGTGTTCTGGAAGTATACAGGGCAGAGTCCTGGCAGAGAGAGCTGCTTGCTGGTTTGGTGACTCTCGCTCTTCCTCCATTGGCCCAGGTTGGACACGAGCATCGGGCCCCTCGTGTTTGCGGAGCAGTACCTGCAGCTGTCCTTCCTGCTGCCCAGCGCCAATGTGTATGGGCTGGGAGAGCACGTGCACCAGCGGTACCGGCACGACATGGGCTGGAAGACCTGGCCCATCTTCACCCGGGATGCTCCCCCCACCAACGTGAGAGGCCCATTCTCCTGATTTCTCACAGTGAGGGATACCTTCTCTCCTTTTCAGAAAGGAACTTACAGAGTGAGGAAAACTGTAAAGTAACCTACAGAGTTTGCCTTTTACTATGTTGCCCAATTTATGTTTGAGAGTATGCACTTGTTCTTGAGGTTTATAAACTCACAGTACTAACATGTCAATTTTTCAAAATAGTTCACCTTAAAAATATATATAATTTAATAACTATGCTTACATCCCTTCCTTCTTTTCTTTCTCCTTTCCTCCGCCTCTCCTTCTTTCTTCTTAGCATTTTAGGTTGAGTTTGTATTCTAACCAAGGGCTGATGCCATAACTCTTCCTGGCTAGTACTTTAAATCTGGCCTAATTTTGTATAGGTGTGCTAGTATTCCCTACTTTACATATCATGCTGATTCTTTTCTCTTCTCCTGGAATTTATTGTAATCAGTACAATTGCCCTATATGCCAAGGACTAATTTTGCTCTAAGCTTTACAGGAACTCACATAAGGAGTTCCTGTAAAGCTTTCCATATGTCACAGTCTCATATACTCTATTCTTACATCCATTACAATTATTCACATTGTCTCTCTTTATATCAGTGCTCTCATCAGAGCCCTGTGACAAGTTCAATATGTTTTATTTTTTTAAAATTTTAAACTTATTACTACTTAAATATTATATGTTAATTGTAGAGAGACCAGAAAATGCGGTTATGCATAAAGAAGACATTAAAAATTTCTCACAATACTATCATCTTCTGCTAACATTTTATTATGTCATTACAAATATTTTCTAATTTTTAATAAATAAATTGGTTGAGGTATAATTATAGACCATAAAATCCATTTGGTTTAAGTGTACAATGCAATGGTTTTAGTACATTTACTGGGTTGTGCTGTCATTAACATAATCCAGTTTCAGAACATTTTCATCACTCCAAAACCTTTTACACTTAATTCCTATTTTCATCCCAGTGGTGACTCTTGTCTCAGGCCATCACTAATCTTTCCGTCTCTAGAGACCTGACTTCTCTGTACATTTTATAAGGGAATCATGGCCTATTGAATTTGTGTCTGTATCTTTTACTTCGCATAACATTGATGAGACTTACTTATGTTCTAGTATGCACTGGCACTTCACTTCTTATTGCATAGAGTATCCCATTGTGTAGATATATCACATACACATGTTGATGTTACCGTTTTAATACCTTTTGGGCACAATACTAATTACAACATGTGTTGACCAAATACATATTGTGAATGGCTTTTGATGATATTTTGGGGTGAATAAAAGCATTTTACATATGTACTATTATTTCTTTTCATTTTGTTGACAGCAAATGACTAACTTGTATGGAGCTCACACGTTCTTCTTGTGCCTTGAAGACACCAGCGGCTCCTCCTTTGGGGTCTTTCTGCTGAACAGCAATGCTATGGGTAGGGAGCATCATTTTACCTTGGCAGGAATATTTTTGGGGATGTCGCTTTTATAAAAATGACACGCCAAGTAGATCACAGTTTAATAGGAGGCATATTGGACCTACTATGCTTCATCAGAAACTGGAAACAGAAGTAGTTTAAGCTGTCTAAAAATCCAGTTCATGCTGAAAGCTATTTTTATTGAAAACTGCCTTAGAGGTCTCTTTTTGTGTAATGTTTCCCATGATATTTGGTAGATGATAGGATTCACTGTTAGACCCATTCTGAGGATACCTGTAGGTTTCAACATGTAAACATACTGTCTATCTGTAGCTGTTTCTCATAGCCCACCCTTTCCCCACTCCAAAATCTTCCTCCTGTAGCTTCTGGACGAGGGTTTACTTTTATTTTTAATTGTAAGTAAAATGATCTAATAAGGTTTTAAACATTCTTCTTTTCTATGAAATAACTAGCAAATCCCAGACATTTGTATTTTTATATGGTCAGATTAAAATAGAATTTGTGTTTCATTCTCCTAAAAGTCAATTAATTTCTCAAAGGTGTTGTACTCTTAATATGTGATAAGCTTCAGCAATCATGTAAAGGAATAGGTGTGATTTTCATCTCTTTCAAAATGAGATAGACTGTTTTGGGTAGCTCACATATTTAAATTCTGCAGAAAAATATATATTTTTAACCACAAAATTCTAATGACTCTTATTTTAATTCTTGCAGAGGTCACCCTTCAGCCGGCTCCTGCAGTCACTTACCGCACCATCGGGGGCATTTTGGACTTTTATGTGTTCCTGGGAGACACTCCAGAACAAGTGGTTCAGGAATACCTGGAGGTATGGCTTTGTAGTTAGTCATTCTTTATTGCTACTATCTCATACAATCATTGTAAATTAGCCTGGGAAAAATAAAACTTATGGGTAAACTATGGATCATATATGTTGGGATTGTGAGTCTTCCATTCATCATATGTTTATTCTGATGCAAATTTATTGAGTGCCTTCTGTGTGCTGAGAGACACTGTGCAAGGCTTGAGAAATGTAAAAATAAGTCACCTAATGAGGTTTTAAACAGATGCTGTGCTGTTTTCAAGGAACTCATGGTCCAACCATGCATGATCATTCCGAAGACCTGAGGCTACAAATCAGTAAAGTTCACTCATTCAGTAAATAAAAATTTAGTCAAAAAATATTATGTACAAGAAATTGGCTCTGATATTTTATATCTGAGAACTTAACAGAAAATGAAATGGAAACAAAGTTGTCTATATTGGACATGTTGCTACAAACAGTGTTTATTCTAAATGCCTGGACACTTCTTTATTTTTCTAGCTCATTGGACGGCCATTCCTGCCTTCCTACTGGAATCTTGGTTTCCACCTTAGTCGCAGGAATTATAATAACATCGAGGGATTGAAAGAGGTTGTAAACCGAACTCGTAAAGCTAGGATCCCATATGTAAGTTGGAACTTATCTTGTCATGAACAAGATGCCATTTCCTATCTTTTATTTTTTTTGTACCTAATTCAATTTACTAGGAAAAATACAGTTAGATAAATTGGTACATGGATGGATAGATTATAGATATACAGATGATGATAAATGATAATAGATAAATAGATAGATAGACCCATCTACTGTCATAAATTTGCAAACTAAATTACCTATGTCATCATGGGAAGAGCACAGCTGTGAAGTCAGAAGGATATGATTTTGAATTTTAGCTTTTCCTCTTTGTAGCTCTATGCAATGTTGGGCTAGTTAATTACTACCTCTGTGTTTTAGTTACCTTATTTATAAAATGAAAATTTATTCTGGTGGGCTGTTTGTGAAGAATGCCTAAAACTGTGCATGTAAAACATGTAACACAAAGGATGAACTCCATCAAAGTTGGTTGCTATTTCATAAGAGAAAGTAACACCTGGTTAACACGTGCTCTGATTATTATAATGGTGACTCAAAGTGAGTTTCTCATAGTGACCTTGTATATTCTTTCGAGATATAACATACTTATTTTGAAAGTTCTGTGGTTGTAAAGTATTTATGATGACCAATGTCCACTAGTAAATAAAAAGATCATTATTTAGTGTATAATATTTGAAAAGTTTCTCCCTGGAGATGCATGACACGTGGTTAATGAAGTTATCAAAACAATTAATTTTGGGCTCAAACTTTGAAACTATGATACAAACATATATTTGGTTAATACCTGAAGGAAGATATTATGGATGGAAATGTCTTTGGCCTGATCTCAGAAGTTTTTCGTCTCCTCTAAGTGTAGCAATAAGGGCAGGCCATGAGATGAATTTTTCTTGTGAGAAAACCTGCTCATTGTGTGGTTTTGTTGTTAAGGGGAAATGGTTATATATTTGATTTTACTTCTCCCATATCTGCTATCTGCAAACACCCAATTCCAGGAGGAATCAGGCCAAATCTTGCCACATCATTATTTTACAAAGTGCTTTCATATTCATGGTTGACCCTCCCTTAATTGGTATTTTGCAAATGAGGAAATGCAGACATTGCAATGTCAATCACTTTCCTGAGGTCACTCCAGCTAGCACAATGACAGGCCCAGGATTCAAAAGTGGTTCTTTTGGCTCCACGTGGTATTGGTTTCAATCTCCCCCCAGGCCTCTGAAGGGAAGAGCCTTTTGAGGTCTTGCTGGTTCAGAAACAAATGAGCTTTCTTCCATGGATTAGATCTTTCCCATCAGGCAACTCTGGAGGACACCTAGGTCCTACATGACTGTCCGGTGTTAGAACAGCTGGTGCTGCATTGGCTACAGGCCACAGCCACATTTCCCTTCAGGTTTGTAAGTTACAGCCTCTGACACATGACCAGACCACCAACCGCAAAATGAACAATTGCTTAGAAGACCTTCAGTTGTCTTTGAAGTATGTGGCAATTGGAACAAAAAAGCATATGGAGTCAAAGGGTCTATCAACAAAGCCCTAATTAATCCCCCACCTACTCCTGCATCTGACCTTGGAAAATGTCACTTAGCCCTTATACATTTCAATCTTCCGCTAAAAATCTGCTCCTCATAGGTTGGTATGCAAACACAAAAATAATGTGTGTATGAGAATTTGGTTAATTAAAGCTCTGTCCCTTTGTCATTTATCTTTGTTAATTATTACCCTACATGTTTTATAAGACAAGCAGGCTATTTTTCTTCTCTTGTGATATGTCTAACTTGATGTCTAGGGTCCAGGTTAATACATGGTAATAACAATACTCATGGGTTCATTCAAACAAATATTTAAAGAGCACCTGTTTTATTTCAAGCATCTAAGCTCTCAAATTACAGGGATGAACAAGACACAGTCCTTATTTTCAAGTTCCTCCCAATACGTTATGGCAGGCATCTATCAAGTCAAAGAGATAAAACTAAAACCTAAGAGAGTCCGAATCTTTCAAAAAAAGGGTTTATTTACTCCTAGGAAGTAGCCAAGTCCTGTAAATTCCAGAATCATTAAGAAATATGACTTGCCCTAGCTAGTATTGGACTCAATGGATAGAGCATTGGCCTGCGGACTAAAGGGTCCCAGGTTTGATTCCAATCCAGGGCACATGCCCCGGGTTGAGGGCTTCATCCCCCATAGGGGGCATACAGGAGGCAGCCAATAAATGATTCTCTCTCATCACTTGGTGTTTCTATCTCTCTCTCTCCCTCTCCCTTCTTCTCTGAAATCAATAAAAATATATTAAAAAAAGGAAAAGAAAAATGGCTTCAGTTTTAATGATGAAGAATCAGAGTTATCAGCATGGTGATATTGCCTCAGGTCTAATTGGCCAGCCCTGTCTTCCAGGATGTCCAGTACTCAGACATAGACTACATGGATGGAAAAAAGGACTTCACTATCGATGAAAAGGCTTTCCCTGGTCTCTCAGATTTTGCCAAGGACTTACACGAACATGGACAGAAATATGTAATTATTATGGTATGCTCAAACACTTATTCCATGGCCTAGTATTCCCTTTAAAAATGCAAAACGACATTTATAAAAATAATATTTGTTATCATATATATTTACTAGAATCCTGGCATCTTAAATAATTCTGACTACCAGCCCTACAAGAATGGAAGAAAAAAGAGAGCGTGGATCATGGGGAATAAAGGCTTTGTCATTGGAGAGGTAATTTCTAAAAATAAATCAGAGTATATTACAGTCATTTGGGGGAAGTTTGTGCTTTTGGTACAACAATGAATAGAAGGCAATTTACAGTATTATTATTGTTTTCTTGGCATTAGAGGTTTCTGCTATTATTTTTAAAACAGTAAATGTCATAGTAGAATGATTAAAATTTTTAAGAATTTGTTTTTTAGTTGAAATATATTTGACATATAACATTGTATAAATTTAAGATGTATAGCATATTGATCTAATAAATTGATTATTCAATATGATTGCCATTGTAGTGATGGCACCTCTATCATATTACATATTTTCATTTTTTTGTGTGTGTGGTGGAATAATTAAGATTTAGTCTCTAAAAAGCTAACCCTAACCCTAGAATAATACAGATAGTTGAAAAACAATATATTATTAGAAGAAAGTTAATTTATTCTTAAAGTTCTTCTGCCTTCCAATTTCTATTCCCCCCCCCCCCCCCCGACAATAAATTCAACTATGGTAATGGAGCAAGATGCTCATAGCCTAATGTGAAACCTACCTCAGCTAATATATTTTTAATTTACATGAGACTTATAGATAGATCCCAGCCTTATTCTAAGGTAGCAATTTTAGGCATTTGAATAAGCTACTTAGGAACCTATTTTCAGGTCAGCTGAGCTTTTGAGAATATTTTAAATCAAATCCTGTAGTCAGCTTTCTTTCCCAATTATGTGTCGGGTCAGCCCCAGATGATTGGATGATGGGAGATTTACTAAAACTGGTACTTCATCTAAAAGTTCACGTGGCCTCATTTCTTGTTGCTCCTGGGAAATTAATTTTGCAAAACTTGTCTTTTTAGAATTATCATTGAACCCTTACCTAACTTCTCACTTAATTCCCATTATTGAATTTGCCTATGATAGTTCTTATTATTTGCTTTCTTTTTCATTGATTCTAACTTTTCATGAAACAGTAGTTTCCTTCCTTCTCCAAACCAATTCGTTACTTTTATGTTTTGTTTGATGTGAATTTCTAAAATATCAGATAGACTGATATTCGTATATAAGTACAAAATCAGAGGCCGTGGTCACATAAAAATTGTTTTGTTTACCAGAAAAGTAGATTATCAGACTTATGAGTTATTTCAATAGTACTCATATTTGAGTGGTATGTAATTAGGAATTTGCAAATAACCACAAAAACTTAATTAGTTACCTCCATTGACTAATAAATAACAGAAATCATTTGATCTAAGATGTTGGCAGATGTAGTAGTGTTGGAGTTAATTGTAAAGGAATTTGGTTAGAATGAATGTTCCTGGGCTTGCTCTAGGGACAGTGTCACATATTCTTTTGTCATACCACCTTTTCCCTGAGGTTCAAAGTTACTTCTTCTTATTATTATTATACAGTGACCCATCACCTAAAACAAAAAACCCAGATACAGCTAAGCTATTCATTACACTGACTGAGCATAAAGTTGTTCCTAAATGACAACCTAGAAATTTGTTGGGAAAATAAGCAAGAATGTATGTGTCTTGTGTCTTGTCAATTTAGAATTTTCACTAATTTGGCTATGATTATATCTTTGTGTTATAATATTTGTGGACAATGTTAAAAATGAATCTTTGATAGGGATAGATAAGAAGAGAAGATAGAATAAGATATATTTGACTTCATATATTTGAGTAAGAAGCACAAAATTCATTAAGCCATTTTAACAAAAATGTTTCTATGCCAAACCTAACATATTATTTATAAACGGCATTATTCAAGTCAGGTTTTAGGTAATCTTCAATTAACAGCACATTAAACAAATTCATTCTCTTCTAAAATATCATCTAGTTAAGCTTTACATATTTTAAACATGTTAATTGGCCTGACATATGAAATTTTACTTCTTTTTTTTTTTTAAATAAGAGAAAAGAGACATTTGCTGGCTTCTCATCTCTATAACAAGTTGTTTTTCCTTTTCTTTTTTTCTCCCTTTGGTTCCTTTCATCTATTTTAACATTTAGTTTTAGGAGGATAGCCACAAATTTAATTCTAAAATTTGGGCCTTCTGGTAAAAGAGATAGTAGCCAACAATAAATGCATGCGTGAATCATCAGACAAACCACCACAACTTTCCTTGTTTTTTAGGGATATCCTGGAAAGATAGTCTTTCCTGCTTATGATAAGCCAAGTTGTACTCAATGGTGGACAGAAGAGCTTCATGAATTTCATAAAACTTTGGAGTTTGATGGCGTGTGGCTTGTAAGTGTTATTCCAGGATCAAACGTATTTTGGAGACAGATATTTCTAATTTTAAGATGAATTTTAACTCTAATCTCTAAAAAAAAAAAATGGTTTATTTAACAGTGATATTTAAAATCCCTTTTCTTAATGTTTGAGCTTATAACATATAATAAAATAGATGCTTCAATCCCCTGAATTTTAATTCTCAATCTGCTACCTACTGGTTACTTATTTTTAAGAAAATCTTTTGCTTTCTCATGGACTCCGCTTTTTCCTTCATTAACTGTCTTTTAGCTTTAAAAATATTATTTTATTAGAAACTACAAGTGCTATTATTTGTAGCAATGATTTATTGAAATTTAAAGTAAATAATTAAAGAATAATTTAATGGTCCTCTTATTTTTTAGATAACAGGTGAAAATTTTATTTGAAATTTAAAAAATTATCTTTTTGTTGGCAAGATTACACATCATCTATTTGCAAGCTCTTTTAAATAAATGGATTTTGTCTCAATTTTATATTCTTATGCCCTGCACTAAGTAGAACAACAGAATGGGAAAATTATGAAATAGAATATTACTCTATATTAAATTCTTTAAAACAATACCAGCAACAATAAAATCTCATAAAGCATGAATTAGCCTTTGAAATAGTATTTCTTAACTAATTGAAATCAAAGTATAAAAGGTTAAATGGATCTGATATAATTTAAAGTTGGAAGGTACTGTAGATATAATCTAATCCAAAGGATAAAACTGAGGTCAGAAAATTTAAGATTACTTAAGATTCCAAAATCAATAAGAGATCTCAGCTATCCAGCTTCTAGTTTAGTAAACATTCTTTAACAACCAACTGTATACCAATAATTTTTTCCACTTTGTGTATTTCATGTCTCTGCAGGAAATGGAGGAAGTATCTAACTTTCTCTCAGATTCTGATGATAAGTGTGAAAAGAACATCTGGAACTATCCTCCTTTCACTCCCCGTAAGTTTTTACTTATTTGTAATAATGTAGGAAGGAGACATTTAAAACAACCTGTAGCCAAAAGCAAGTTCACTTTCCAAAGGTTCTTTTGTTTTGTTTTGTCTGTTTTTATTATCTTAGTAGAGGCCACATGCATGAAATCCATGCACTGGTGGGAAGGGGTGCACCCTCAGCCTGCACCCTCTCGCAGACCAGGACCCCTTGCTCCTTGCCATGGCTCATTGCTTGTTAGCGCTGCCGTGAAGGTGGGCTTCTGCTGCTGTGCTCGCCAGCCATGAGCCTGGTCTCTGACTGAGCTGTGCTGCCTCTGTGGGAGTGCACTGACCACCAGGGGGCAGCTCCTGTATTGAGCGCCTGCCCTCTGGTGCTCAGTGTGCATCATAGCGACTGGTCATTCTACCATTCAGTCGTTTTGCATAATAACCTTTAATTTTATAGGATTATTATTATTTTTTAAATATATTTTATTGATTTTTTTATAGAGAGGAAGGGAGAGAGATGGAGAGTTAGAAACAGAGATCAGCTTCCTCCTGCATACTCCCTTCTGGGTAGGTGCCTGCAACCAAGGTACATGCCCTTGACCAGAATCAAATTATTTCCATTGCCTGGTTCTCCTATCTTGGAGCCCTTTGTTTCCTGCTTCCTAGGTGAAAGAGAAATAGAAGGGTAGAGGAGATTTATGGGCAAGACTGGAAGTGGGCTGTGTTCAATTTGTTTACAGAATCCGATCGCATAGTCTTTACTAAACTTTTAAGAGAAAACATGAAATATAATCTTACTAGAGGCCCAATGCACAAAATTTGTTCTCCCTGCATGATCTACAATAATAATCTGCTTCATGTTGATATTTACTGCTGTGTTGCTCACAATTACCTGAAAGAGAAGTTGGGGTGCTTCACTGGTTTGGGAAAAGTTTAGCAAAATCAGAAAGCAGGTCTAAATAAGTAAGTTTATTCTCTCTCTATAAAAGGCTAAATTGACTCATGCATGTACAATATATATAAGGCTCTTGCTGGCGCCAATTGCACGCATGTGTGTTTTGATCTGTCACTGTTGATCATGAATTGGTTGACACTACTATTATAGAGAAAGGGCGAATAATGATATTAAAATATTTTTTCTAATTTATTTCCTTTCAATGTGCACGAATAATTAAACTAGTTGTAAATCCCAGGCCACAAACTGAGTCATGCCAGAAATATAATTGTCTTTATATTTTATAATTAAACATAATTTCAATCCCTGATTCTGCTGGGCTGGTTAGAAAAACTCAACCTCAGTCTTTCCTGGCCCTACCACTTTCTGAAATTGTGCCTCATATCCTATGAATAGGCAAGGCTTCATGAAGTAGGGGAGGAGGTATTACCCCCTGGTACTGGTCTATAAGGAGAAGGGGAGAAGTATAACTGAGGTGTGAATGCATGTAATTTTGGAGTGAATATGTTCCCTTTTCACTGCCCTCCTATTTTTCTTTATACATTCAATTCTCATTGATTAAATATCTGTAGTTATATGTGTGTATTTATTTATATTTTGTCTCAGATAAACTTCCCATTGATCCAAGGGTTTTTTTTGTTTGTTTGTTTGTTTGTTTTTTGTTTTTGTTTTTTTAATGTTGCCATCACTTAGTACCACTCTTTGTGAGCTCAAGAGAATGCAAATTAATTTTAATGATTTATCTCAGTGAGGGGCTTAGAATATGTCCCAGTTAGGAAGAAACATTGGGATAGGATTTGAAATCTGAAAAGAGTTTTGTCAGGTAGAGATTGGTGAAGGTACAAGAACCTGGAAGCAATTAGATTAAGTGATTATTTTGTTAGAGCTTGTTGACATGGAAGTGGCTCACCAATGGATATTTCCCCACAGGAGTTCTGGGCGGCTCGCTTTTTGCAAGAACCCTCTGCATGGATGCTGAGGTTTACCAGGAGCTTCACTATAATGTCCACAGCTTGTATGGCTACTCCATGGCAAGAGCCACAGACTCGTAAGCACTAGATTTTTCTCCTACTTTGAGATTTGGGGAGCTGGGAGATAGAGGGTTTCTCTTGTCATCTATGGGTATGTTTTTAAAATATAATTTTTTGGTTATGTGGATCTAGAAACTCAGGTCTTACAGGCTTCTTAAGAGGTCTAATTCCTTGGCTTCTGTGCAGGATTATTGCTTATTGGCTTGTGACTAAGGACTTGATACTATAAGCAATAATGTGCCAGGTATTTAGAACCCCCAATTGGAAGCCAGCTCTTGCTTGGGTTCCATTACTGAATGTGCTATGGTCACCACACAAGAACTGCTGATTTAGCAAATAAAAATACAGGACACACAGTCAAGTTTGCAATATACATATGTATACTAAAAATTATTCATTGTTTATATGTAATTCAAGTTTATTGAGTGTTCTGTATTTACATGGTAATATTATAGCACTCCCTCCTGGCTTTCTTCTCTACTGTCTTCCCCAGTCACCTTCTCAATTCTCTCTTCTGCCCCAAGACATACCCAGTACCACTATCACCATGATTACTAACATTACCACCATCATCATCACCATCATCTACATCACCACCACCACCACCACCACCACCACCACCACCACCACTCAATATGAAAGTCTAACAAAGAGACAGATACTTTCTGCAAAAAATTCAGTCTTTTACATACTTTGTCACATTAATATTTTGCTGCTGACTTTGTAAATTGAGGAAAAGCTCTCTGCAAAATCTCCCCCTCCCCACACCAAGGTGATAAATTACAATCATTATACCTAAGAGAGCAAGAAATTGGGGACTAAACTTAAGAAGATTTTAATTTAAATTTATAAAACAGAGAGGGAAACTAAAGTCTTTGAAGATTTGTTGGGGACCTTCAAGTGGCTCAGGAAAGAATGTCTTAGTTTTTCTCTGCTTATATCCTTTTGCTTTGGTATGGAACACCATAGTGGGTATAGGAGCAGGGAGACTTTGATTTCTAATGGAACTTTTCTCATTCCTTTTATTTGACTTCTCTAGTGTACATAACATCACTGACAACTCCTTTGAAGTTTGGTTCCTTTAGTTCTGAGACACCACTCTCTCTGGGCACACCTGCTCTTTTTCCAGCTGTCCCTTAACCTCTGTTCCTTCTTGACCTCTGGATCTTTTTCATGTATTCTCTCACGATTGATAAATCTTAGGGGTCAACCCCTAGACTTCATTTTTTATTTTCTGTCAAGTACAAAAATAACTATTCCTTCTCAGTTTTTATTGTAATTTATTCTGATAATTTTAAAATTTATAATTTTATAAATCTGTAGATTAGATCTCTCCCTGGTTTTCAGGCCCAGATATCCAACATTACTTTCTGATCTTCTCTACTTGGATGTCTTATAGTACCTCCAATGGCATTCACCTTACTGTTACCTGTTTATGCCTTAGCTCCACAGTCTAATCATTTTTGAAACTGCTCAATTTCCTATCTTGGTTGGTAGCAACACCATCACTATCTCCCAGACTCCCAAGTGAGAAACTTGGTACCATCCTCGAGTTATTTCTTTCCATCACATCCACTTCTACAATCAGGCTTTAGATCTTTTGATCCTAAAACATGTCTATAATCATCTCCTTTTTTCCTCCACTGACACTTTTTAATGAAGGTCATCATCATTGCTCAAGTAAACTTACATGAGTCCCATGACTATTAGTCTCCCTTCCCTGACTGTAGCTTTATCTCCTATTCATCTATCCCTACTCTTGCTATTCAAAGTATGGTCCAAGGACTAGCAATATTAGCTTCATCTGGAAACATATTAGAAATGTAGTACCTTGGCCCTCACCCTTCACCTTGGAAATGATAATATTAGTTTTAACAAGGTTCCCGGGGGTATTGAATGTATGTTAAATGTTCAAAAAATCTACTCTACTACTGATGAAATTACCTCCTGAATCACACATCTGTTCTTTTCTTTCCCTGGTGAAAATCTGCTCACTTCTTTCCCAGGTGAAAAATTATCTTTGGCTTTGTATCTTCTATACAATAAAGTCCAGTCACTCCAGCCTAACCTGTAAAGTACTTCATAACTTAATTATTTCTTAGTATTTTCCTTTCATCCCTGCTACTCTTATATTTTACGCTCTTGTAAAAACATAACTGCCCTTGCTCCCAAATCCAAATGCTATTTCATTCTCTCATGTCTTAGAATGTATTGCTCTCCTTGCATGGTATGCCCTTTCCCTGCCCTGTCCATTTTTCAAATATATACTTACCTTTAAAACCTCCCCTCAGATATTAAACCTTCCTGACAGTCCTAGGAAAAGATTACCCCTACACCCACCCCACATTTTGTGTTACCTTTGTTTATATTTTACTATGTCTAATATTCAAGCACCTTGTATTACAGTTTTTAGGTATTTATTTTTTGTCTTACTGGACTATCAATTTCTTGAGAGCATAGTCACCCCATATTTCCTTAGCCTGTGGAATCATGTGTATACTAAAGGCATGGCTTTTGAGTAAATAGCTGGCTTGAGAAAGAGAAGAATGGCAGGATGAACCCAAATGGGACCTTATGAATTAGAGGCACAAACTGGACCTATGTTGTTTTCCCACACCATTTTGTCTTCATGACTTAATATTATTCTGGATTGTCTATGAGAGAGTCCTTATCCACTAACTGCAAAAGTTTTTATTTCAATAAATGAAAAACTTCAAAAAAAAAAAAAAAAGGGATACACATTTCTGATTTCATTATCTACCCTTTTCTGACTTTTTTCTCTGGCACTCAACCTTTCTGGGAAGTAAACTAGATGAATAAGATGTTACCAAAGACCAAAGAAACTAAGCATGTTTCGTAGAGAAAGGAAGGGACCCCATTTATTAACACTAGTGGACTCTGGGAATAATTTCCAAATCAGAGTGAAGAAATATGCAGAGAGCCTGTATGTTGTGTGTGTGTGTGTGTGTGTGTGTGTGTGTGTGTGTGTGTATCTTGCTGGGGTCTTTGTCTTGCAGATATGTCCCCTGCCCCCTTTGTGGCCCTGCAGGAAGGCCCCCAGGTGTCAGGGCACATCCTATAGTCAGTCCTGGCACTAGCATAATAACAATCACCAGGGAAGTGCATTCTTCACAGTTCTATGGCCTCTGCATTTAGATAACAAGTTCTGCAAGACCAGTTTCCTCCTCAAAGACAGTTTCCTCATCTTTAAAATGAAAATCTTGGACTGGTGTTTCCCATTGTAGCATCCATCTTGTATGAAAACTGCTGTTTGAAATTTTAACGCTGCTATTTGGCTTCTGTGGATTTAACCTCCCCCAGACAAGGTCATCAGTGCTGGCGCCAGGTCTGGCCTCTGGTTGAGGTCTCAGGGCCCCAGTACATACTTAAGAACTTGCAAGAGGGGGCTGGAAACACTCCATATTTGGGAGACAAAGAGGGTAGGATCATATAAATAGGGAGAATTCCTTCATATTGGGGCCCAGAATTTGAGATACATTTTCCTCTGGACCCGCGTGGTAATAAATATAACTCCATCTCTCTAAGTATTGCTTTGTTCTTCGATTTTTTGTAACATCATATCCCTTCTTGCTCTGATCTATTTTGACTCACGATGCTTCTAGGAGTTGAAGGTATGGGGAGAGTGGATAAATGGACAGGGCAAGAAAGAGAAAGTAAGGAAAGGCAAGAGGAAGGAAAGAGAGTTTCAAATTGCTTCATTGTTCAAATCTCCATATGATAAAAGTACTATAAAATCAAATTGAGATTGGTTAATATATTCTGAAGCTATGTCAATAATGGTTAATAGTTAAAAGGTCAAAGTTCCCAGAGAACAATGGAGATAAGTGCAATTTAGCTTTCAGGCATCAGACAGATTTGGTTAAAAATCAGGTAAGATTTTCATTTAGTTGGATCTGGCATCAGGAGAATTTAAATCACGGATCTGATGAATATTTAGCTTAATCTTTGCTGGAAGTATAGTTTGGGGACAGTAGTTACTGATCTACCAAGAGAATAAAGTTCACTTTCCTCTGGCCTGAAAGTAGGAAGAAACCAGAACCTCTCAGATATCAAGACCTGACCATAAGTAGGCCCAAACTGAGAGATGCGAAATAGAGACTTAGGGATCTCTGGGTAAATATTTCCCCTAAGCTGGAAAAAAAAATGTTATCTAATCATATTTGTGGTACTATAATGGGCTGACTCTAAATGAACACTAAATTCACTTAACTTCATTTCCTGTTTCAATTTCACTTTACATAACTTGAATGTGTTTCTTTAATGACTGAGGATTGCAGGATGCAGGAAACCCTCTAGCCAATGGTAACAAACACCAAATATTGCCAGTCCTTACAAAAGGAGAAATGAGGACAGGAATTGGAAAGTGACTCCTTTTCATTCTACCCCCATTTTTGGATCATTTAATTGTCAGAATGGGGAACTTCATTTTCTTAAACTAGTATTCTATTTCAGAATTTTCTTTCTTTTTTCATTATAAGTTGTTCTGCATGTGTACACTCCTCATAACATCCTTAGGAATGCAAAGAGGAAAAGCATTAGTGGTTGTGATAGTGCCTATGAGGAATTGCCCAGTGTCTGGTACACTGGTCTCAGACCATGTATTGTAAAGAAAGATAGTAGAGCTTGCCTGCAAAGAGGTAGAAGCAACTGTGGCTCAGGTATCACCATCCAATAGTTGTTTTATTGTGCAATTTTAAAACACTAAAGGTAAGTGTGAACTGTTTAGGAGAGGAGAGAACAGGGAGAGTCCTAAGCAAAATAGTGTTCTGAATAAAAGCTAGGAAAACAGCCTATATCTTACTTCATGTTATCCCATCCAGATGCCCACTTCCGGTCTCAATTTCTTATCTTTAATTTTTTTTGTTTTACTTTTTATATAGTTTTTACTTGATATATATTTTATAAGTAATACAATGAAAATATTTACATTTTAGTTACTTTTAACTTCATTAAGAGTGCCATATGCTATCTTTTGAGACTTACTTCAAGTAATACTGAAATAGGAATTTAAGGGGTAAAACAGGAATCTAAGGGGTAAAATAGGTTTAGGCAATTTTAGAAATTTTGGAAATTAAGGGGACCATGGAGGAAGCATAGGGCTGCAGAGCAGCAGAAGGTGTATTTCCATAGAATAGGGCAGTGGTTGGCAAACTCATTAGTCAACAGAATATCAACAGTACAACGATTGAAATTTCTTTTGAGAGTCGAAAACCGGCTTCTGCAAATGGGCGACGAAGTTTCAATTGCACTGTACGTGTGCGCCCACACGTGGTATTTTGTGGAAGAGCTGCATGTGGCTTGTTAGCTGCAGTTTGCTGATCACTGGAATAGGGGAAGTTGAGGAGCTGCAACTTCCAACTGAAATAGGTACATTTCCATAGAATGAGGAAGCTGGAAACAGCAAAAGGTTTATATTTACAAAACAAAGAGAAGAAAGACCTTCATCCAGAGGAGAAGAAAGCCCAAAGGGAATAGGAAAACAATAAGGAAGGAGGGGAGGAGAACCTCACATGTCCTGTGAAGTTTGACATTTGAGCCCAGGAGTTACTATAGTGACCATCTAAGGGAATAGTGACCAATCAGAGGGGATATCAAGGCATCTGTAGCCTTTATAAGCTTTAGGGAAAAATAACTCAGTGGGAACCCTTTCCCCCTCCCTACTTGGGAGTCCATTCTGTAGGACTGTTTCCCTCTCTCCATGTGGGAGTCTGTACTTGTTCTTTAATAAATCTCCACCTTTGCTATACCAGTTTCTGTCTGTGCATTCATTCTTTGATTCTGGTGGACAAAGAATCCAGGTTCCAGTCCAAAGATTCCATTTCAATACTAGCTTGCATAGATTAAGATATTTTAACATTGGGGATTGCTAATAATAAACTCTGAAGCTTTAGAGGAACCCAGGTTCCTGGAGCCCAGACTGTATACAAAATCTCCTCTTAGGCAAAGAGCAGGTAAAGAGTTCTGACCTGAGCTTGTGTTGTGCTAAACAAGATTATGAATAACAGCAAGGCATGGAACCCAGGTACACTGGGAAAACTTTTTCTAGAGGAAGAAGATAGTGCCAATAGCTCCTCATTCTAATGTATCATCATCAACCAAAAGGGCCAGAGCACAACCAGATAGAAGATGGAGGAAACATAATCAGGAGTCCAGGAGCCTAGAGTAATTCCTTAAGGGTACTGACTTAGAGGTTTTTATTGTCTTACATGAGGTTTGCAACCTTACCTAGCAGCAAGAAAGAAGCTCTCAAAAACACTAATCCAGTTTACTCTCTTTCATGATACACTAATGTTTTTCTCTCAGTTTCCTTGGAAAGTCCATTGCTGCCTTTGGTATAGGTTACATCCTTGACATTCACAGTTCATTTCACATTCAGTTGACTGTATTCCTTTTCAGGGCCTTGAATACTGTCTTCCCCAATAAGAGGAACTTCATCTTATCCCGTTCTACTTTTGCTGGGTCTGGCAAGTTTGCAGCTCATTGGTTGGGGGACAATGCGGCTACATGGAATGATCTCCAATGGTCCATCCCTAGTATCCTTGAGTTCAACCTATTTGGCATCCCCATGGTGAGTTTTACTCTCAATCGAGGAGTTTTAACATTCTTTCCATTCCGTTACCAAACTTTGAGGGGTCTGAAAACCAATGAACATATGACTCACTTTGATATGTATTGGAAAAATCATGTGTTGGGTGAGCTGCCTTCTGATGATAGGGTGGTAACACTTTATAATTGGCATCCATAGATTCTCTGAAGTTAGAAAGGAGACTCCATGAGTAAAATGTATCAGTATCACATAAAAATTCCATCAAAAGCATCAATAATAGCAAAGCATGAAATTGGGAACTGAATATTGAGAGTGAGCCCTTAATAAAACATGCAACAGTCAGTTTTTTTCTCATTAGTCAGTCCATGATTGCATACTTTCCTTATTCTCCAATTTGGCTGGGGGATTGCCATGAAAGCTCAGGACCTCTTTAAGCATGGAGTGATGGGAATGAGAGATTCTTATTTCCCTTATCACATAGGTATACAGTCAATGCTTTCTCCTCTCTCACTGACCACTGAGCTGTATGTATGCCTATTCTCCAGGTCGGTGCCAATATCTGTGGTTATACCAGTGATACCACAGAGGAGCTCTGCAGAAGATGGATGCAGCTTGGAGCATTTTATCCACTATCCAGGAATCACAATGGGCCTAAGTTCAGGGTAAGGTCCCTAAGAGAAGTCATGGAAACTTCTTGGGTTATCTAATCTACCTGTTCTCAAAAAGGAAATAAGAAAATACTTCCAGGTTGGCTCTAAGTGCAGGAGCAGAATAGACAAATTTTCAGTGATTGACTAAAAAGTAGGGGGGTGATGATGTGTGTGTGTGTGGAAAAAAATAATATATTTATACAAACACACACACACATACTAGTGGCCCAGTGCATAAAATTTGTACAGGGAGTGGGGGGTCCCTCAGCCCAGCCTGCACTTTCTCCAATCTGGGACCCCTCAGGGGATGTCCAACTGCCGGTTTAGGCCCAATCCCTGTCAGACATCCCTCTTGCAATCTGGGGCCGCTGGCTCCTAACCACTCACCTGCCTGCCTGCCTGATCACCCCTAACCACTCTGCCTGTCAGCCTTCTTGCCCCCAACTGTCCTCTCTAGCCAGCCTCCAACTGCCCTTTCATTAATGGTGGTATAGAGTGGTTCTATTTGGAAGGGGGAAATAGGCAATTTGGGGAACAGAAGAAAGGAATAAATTTAGATAATTTTTTCTAGAATTCAGTTCCAGTAATACTATACAGGATGACAAGTTAAAATATGATATGCACATCTTTCAAATAACAAGGTAAATGAACAATAAACAAAATGTGTGTCCATCATTGTTGGAAAATTTGTTTCTGGGTCCTAAGAGAATTAGATTTCCCTCATAAAGTGTTCTTTCTTTGCTCTTAGATAACCTGCTAAAAACTGTCTTCCTGATTTCTTTGTACTTTGTGTATTGAAGAATAAATAGAGGTCACTGTCTTTTGGACAGAGAAAATAAAACACATTTTGATGCTGAAAACATTATAAATAAAACTACATATGCATTTTAAAATTGCAAATTTATAAAAGTGCATAAGAAAAAAAGATGGATTGTAGGTCATGGTGGTTTAAGGCACTGGATTTCAATTAAAAATATTTTTATTGATTTAAGAGATGAAGTGAGAGGGAGAGATAGAAACATCAATGATGAAAGAGAATCATTGATCAGTTGCCTCCTGCACACTCCCTATTGGGGATCAAGCCTGCAACCCAGGTACTTGCTCTGACCAGGAATCGAACTGTTAACTTCTTGGTTCCTGGGTTGTCCCTCAAGCACTGAGCCCACGAGCTAAAAAAATTAAAAAAAAAAAAATTCTTTTTTTTTTTTAAATAATATATTTTTTTTTATTTTTTTTTTTTACAGAGAGGAAGGGAAAGGGATAAAGAGTTAGAAACATCAATGAGAAAGAAACATTGATCAGCTGCCTCCTGCATAACCCCCTATTGGGGATGTGCCCATAACCAATGTACATGTCCTTGACCAGAATCGAACCTGGGACCCTTCAGTCCACAGACGGACACTCTATCCACTGAGTCAAACCAGTTTTGGCTCGAAGTTCTTTTTAGTGGTAGTATGATTTTATTATTATTTTTTGCCAAATGAAGTATCATGAGAAATGTCAAATTATGAAATGAATTAGAGCAGCTCTGGGGGAGCAGGGCCAAATATAGGCCCTTTATCTTTTGGCTATCTCTGTAGGTTTATTATCTTGAGGAAGTCATGAATCAATGTCAGAAGACATGTGTCAAATTTAAACTCTGTCACTTGCTTGCAATTTTACACCACATTTTTTATATGGTTTTCTCTTCTATAAAATCAAGGAACAGGTAGGTCCCAGATTCTTTCAGTTCTGGAAATGCTTTCACATCTTCAAGTTGGAGAACATAGCTATTTTCATTTGAGAAAACTTCGTATCAAAGGGGACTTTTAAACTATGATGAAAATGGTTAGTAATCACTTATGTTTCCTTCTAGGACCAGGACCCTGCTGCCTTTGGTGAAGACTCTCAGCTGTTGAGTTCCTCCAGGCATTATCTGAACATCCGCTATACCCTGTTGCCCTATCTCTACACCCTCTTCTACCGAGCTCATACCCTGGGAGAGACTGTAGCGAGGCCCCTGGTCCATGAGTGAGTTTCCTTACCCGCAAAGACGTTCTTTCAGATCATAAGGTCACTTGGTCACTTCTCTTGTTAGTAGTAACAAGTTAGGACCTTCTTTTCATATAATGAGCTGCTCTCCTATGTTGGAGGCTTCATCTGCCTTCTCTATTTTCCAGATTCTACCAGGACAGTGCTACGTGGGAGGTGCACGAGCAGTTCTTATGGGGACCTGGACTCCTCATCACGCCTGTGTTACGTGAAGTGTGTTTATAATCTAAGCAGAGCGGTGGGATATCAATACTAGTCCTCATGTCTCTATAGCTAAATAAGTCAGAGGCTGAATATCTTTTGCTCCATTTAAATATAAATATGAATATAAATGAGAGACTAGGAAAATTTGGAAATTAGAAAAATAGTAATTCTTGGTCCCACTGCCTCACCAAGCAAAAACAGTTCCCATTTGGCAAGCTTACATCAAAGCCTGTGTCCTTAAGCATATGGACATTGACAGGGACATCAAATGCATGGGGTTGGCCATCTGTCTGTGTTTCCCTTTGACCAGAGGGGATGTGCTCTTGGGGTTAGAAAGAGAGAAGTGGTGGAAAGAGGAATAGGGAGGAAGAGAGGAATGCTGGGCAAGGGGAGGTTGTTACTGTGGAGTCCACATATGAAGTGTGATTTGGGGCAGCAGTGATTGGGGAAGTGCAGGGAAAGAAAGGGGGGACCAGGATTATGCTGGCCAGTTTGTAAACATGGAAGATCACCAATGTACTCGTATAAAAGGCCCTTGGAGCTGATGTGTTAGCCACACCATCTCATGGCATGTCCTGCTACAGTGATGCTGCTAGAAGGCTCTCCAGGGTGCCTGAATGTTTAAATTTCCCACCTCCCAGATTACACAAGTAACTCAATAAATGAACTTTCTCAGCTTCTCTTAGAAAGCTCAGGAACTTCAAGCAAAACCAACTTAATTTCTGGTACAGCTCTGTTTTGGGTAAACTGCCCGACCTCTCTAAGTATCTGTATTTTCACTGGTAGAATGGCAGAATCCCAACTATTTCTCAGGATTGTTTGAGAAACACATGAAGTCACATGTGGGGGTGTTGTGCAAACTGTAAAAGGATATGCTAATGTCGCTCATTATTGTTGTTTCCCTAGAATGCGGACCGAGTGAAAGCATACATACCAGATGCCATCTGGTACAACTATGAAACAGTAAGTGAGGTAGCCCTTTTGGCCCAGGGACCTGCCTCTAGCAGTGTTAGACAGTTCTAAGGCAGCAGCATTGTTGGGAGCTTAGGTAGGATGACAGTATGAGGCTTTACATTTAGTTGGTTGTGGGTACTTTCCCATGTGGAAGGTCTTTCCCAATATACCATGAAACAACTTGAATCACTGGGGTAGGTTGATGGGAATTTTCATATGTCAACCTGGCCACTATGTGGCTGTCAGGATTTAGGCTGTGATAACCTAGAGAATTAAAGCCTAGTTATGGAATCATAGCATGGCGCGATACAATGACATAAGGTGGGTTGGAGTCTCAGCTTTGCTATCTATTACTATCTTTATGCCTTGGACAAGTCACCTTCCCTTTTGGGAGGTCTCTGGTTTCCTCTTATCTAAAATGAGGCAGCAAAATTAGAAGATCTCCAAGATTCCTTCTAGCCGAAACAGCCTATTATCTGATTTGTTTTCTTTTGTTGTAGGGAATAGCCATCCAATGGAGAAAACAATTGGTGGAGATGCTACTGCCCCCTGATAAGATAGGACTCCACCTTCGAGGAGGCTACATATTTCCCACCCAGCAGCCAAACACAACCACAGAGGCCAGGTAAGCTGTAAGCTCCTCACTTTCTAAGGTGTAACTGCTCTCATGCTCCAAGGGGCAGGGCATTATGGGAAAGGCAAATAGAGGGACTAAAAGTGGATAAACCCAAGAAGACATCTTTCGTCAATGATCTTTCTCCATTCCTTTCAAGATTTGCCCCAAATTGGCATCTTAGTCTTCATTTAGGAGGTAAATGAAGCCTCTGTTCCTTTACATTTCCACAGTCTTTTACTTCTGGATTGAATCCAATTATAAGAATAGTTAATGATCTAAATTGACTCAGGATTGAATAAGATAATGAAGTAAAGAACTTGTTCTTTTCTTTATGGTCAAAAATTGTCCTCAAGGAGATTCAGTTAGGAGATCAAAGTCAAAATTACTTCAAGGTCAAGAGCCAGAAATTTTGGGTTCAAGTCCCAGTTCTACGATATACCAGATGTATTGTTATGGCAACTTGCTCTCTCTATTTCTGCTTATCATTTGTAAACTAGGGATAATAATAATTTGACTTTTTAGAGTCATTCTAAGGTTTGAATGAAATAATATAAATAATTTAATGTACATGAAACACTTAGGAGAATTCCTGGCACATGGTAAGCAGTGATTAGTGCTAATTATTAGTGTTATCACAAATCCAGTTTTCATCTCCTTTGACTATTCTTCTCATGCTCATTCACTACTAACCTCTTTTGTCTACCACACCTAGCTTCTGTGTTTCCATTCAAGGTCATGATCTACTCACTTTCTAGGATAAACTCTAAAGTTATCTGTCTATGGGGCATGAAGGGGGCTTATTTAACACAGTTCTATCTCTTCTTCATTCTCTGAAACTAAGAATTGCTCTTTTACAGTCGGAAGAACGCTCTGGGACTCATTATTGCCTTGGACTACAAGAGAGAAGCAAAGGGAGAGCTGTACTGGGATGATGGTGTATCTGCAGGTAGACTTCCTTATGGCATGACCACTGCAATGCTCAGTGAGATTAGTCATTACAAGCTGCCCAATACAGTGCTCACTCTGTTATCATTGATGTTTATTTCTGTAGCTTAAAATCAACTTATTCTGAAGTTTGACAATTAAAATGGACTTCAGATGAGCAAGTCATATATTATGGACTCTACCAAAGCAACACACATTATTGGTTTAGTTTAATTATTCTTTCCTCTAGGTATCATTATTAATACCAAATAATACTTTTTGCTCATGGATTTGCAAAATGCTTCTTTGGTTACTATTGAAAGAAGTATATAATTTATGTAGTATGTTTTTTCCACTGTAGGATTTCCATATAAGTACCTCACACAAACTTATGGTCTGTGATGATATAAAAATCCTGCCCTGCTCAGAATTAGCATTTGTTAATATTTATTGGCTATTTATGATTGCATTGCATGCAGGGGACATAAAGATGAATAAGACATTGACATTGCACTTGAGGAACTCCTGGTGCAGGAGGATAGATTCATTGTGTATGTGGGTACCTATAATGCAAGTCAAAATGTTGTAAATGCCAGCAAAACATACAGGCCAGGGAGTTCAGAGGATGAAACAGTTACTGCGGATTGTAGTGGCCAGGAAATCTCTGTGGAGATTTGACAAAAATGGGTAAAACGTCACTAAGCAGAATCAGATGGCAAAGGTATTTGTACTGAAAAAGTACCTCTACTTTCTATGTGATGGGGACCCTCTGTCATTCTCTTTCAGATGCTGTAACAAAAAAGAACTATATTTTGTATGAGTTTTCTGTTACCTCGGTAAGTACTGAGGAACATACAGTATACATTCTTCTCTGTGATTGCTTTGTTTTGCTATAGATGTTGTGGTGTAACCCCCATCTTACAAAGGACGCCTCAAAAAGTCAAATTATGGAGTCATTTATTAAAAGCTGCTGGTTACGAGGGGGCAAAAGCGTTCCAGACCTCGCAGTACTAAACAGTTTACCACATCTGGCTTATATTGGCAGAATATCATAAAATTATCAATAACATCTTTGGTTCTGGAATGAGGAACCTGTTTCATGAGCAAGTTAGTTATCTAAAGTATCTATGAATCACTGAATCAATAGAAACACATTATGTGGGATCACCTGGGCAATTTAGAATAATTGTGCTGTCCAGATTCTGGGATCACTGAGTCAACAGGAGTGCACTATCTGTAGCTACTGAGACAATTTAGGATAATTGTGCTATTCTGATTCCTGGAAGAATATGCTTCAGTAACTGGTGAGATCACAATCAATGGGATATTCAAACCACCGTCAATGGATTGGGATAGCATACATAAGTTCAGAAAATCAAAATAACTTTCTATTGTTTTAGCAAACAAATAAGTACAGAACCCAAACAGTAGTTTCTACCTGAGATAATTGGTACCAAATATATATATATATATATATATATAATTTTTTTATTTTTCTAGAAACCAGTCCTTTGTTGGATTTATGGTTTGTAAATATTTTCTTTCCATCTGCAGATGTCTCTCTTGATCCTCAAAGTCTTTCACAGAGCAAACATTTTTTTTTTTTTATTGGCCTAACTTATCTTTTTGTTCTTTTGTAGATCATGCTGTTTGGTGTCTAGTATAAGAACTCTTCCTAGCCCTAGATCTTGAATACTATCTCCTAATTTTTATATTAGATGTGACATTTAGGTTGAGGTTCAACTTTTTGCCTATGTACATCCAGTTAGCCCTGCACCATCTGTTGAAAAGCTATTCTTTTTCCATTGTGTTGCTCTTGCACCTTTGCAGAAATCAGTTGGGCATATTTGTGGGATACCTAGTCTTTCTAAACATCAAAGTATTCCTTTTTCCCCCCTTAATCTTCAGCTCAATTTTATTTGTCATAGCTTAACTTTGTCACCTTTGAACTGTGGTTCCCTGAATAAGATATCTAATTTCTCTGGGTTTCACTCTCTTCCTCTGAAAAAGTTGAGATAATTAGAACTTCAACCTCATAGTTTGCTATGAGACTGATTGAGATAATACATGTAAAATGTTTAGTACAGTGCCTGGCACATAGTAAGCATTTATGCAATTAGGCTCTTATCAGCATTATAATTAGAATGCAAAGAAAAATCATGTGGGCACTATTTTGTGTGTATGCATAAGTCCACACATTTGTGTGTCAAAGGGTCTCTTGTGGGTTTCTGTCTTTTTGTTTTCTTTGTTGGTATCCATCACATTTGCTTGAAAAATCCATGTCAGGAACATATTTTCTGAATAATGGAATCAATAAATAACCAAAGAACCAAAGCAAGCATAAAATATTACTAGAGCCTTAGGACTGTTAAATGTCTGGGTTAACATATCTCCTGAGGAACATTAGCAGACACTATCTAGAACCTCAGAGATAAAGGAATATAACTTAGATCTCAGAACGAAAGGTGTTGAGTGGCATTTGGGCACAGTTAGTATGTGATATACTTGGTCTCTAAACTGACTTTTTCTTTTTTCAGAACCATCTACAAGCAAAGATTACAAATAATAATTATACGGACCCTGACAACCTCAGGTTTACAGATATCACAATCTTGGGAATGGACAAAGAACCTACTAATTTTGTCATTAATGATACTGACACTTCTAACTTTAGCTACAATGCATCAACCAAGGTGGGCAATTGTTCAAGCCTGCCATCCTGCTGGGCCCCTGATGGAAGTTGTCAGCCCTGAGATTCCTACAGCCAGCTCTCTCTTGCTCTATTTAGTTTGGAGGGGCACAGAGACACTGGCCTGCTGGGAAATCGACCACACCCTAGGGAGGATACAGATGGAGAAACATGTACTTGCTAAACATGAACCCCTGAACTTTGTCCCAGTGGGACTCTGAAAAAGACAGTCCTTTCAATGAGACTCTGGAAGAAGGCAGTTCTTCTCTGGGCAAACTTAAAACTAGACATTCAGATACCACATGTGATGCAGTTCCATACATTATTATTCAAACTATATTATTTGATACATTAGCCTCATTCTGGCCAATTTACACACTCACCCTCTCATTGAGTTAAAGACCCCTTTGAGACACAGCTGATATTTTTGTTAGTGTTTTAAGCAATTTTCATGTCATTATAGAAAATGGGAGTTAAATAAAACAGCAGGGGTAATCAGTTTTTATCCTTGTTTAAAACTATATTTCTATTGATTTTAGAGAGGAAAGGAGAGAGAGAAAGATAGAAACATTGAATTGGCTGCCTCCTGCATGCCCCACATTGAGGATATGGGCACTGGAAATTGAACTGTGACCTCCTGGTATATAGGTTGATGCTCAACTATTGAGCCAAGCTGTTTGGGTGGTTTTGTCCTTATTGAATGAGTCCCTTACATGGTAATCTCAGATAAAAGATCCCAACTATTAGTTGAGTATTTTATGTGCTGGGGAATTCCCTATTTCATAGGGAGGCCTCCTTCCATTCAGACAACACATATACCCAAGGATAGGAGCTTGGGTTCTAAAGTTAGGCTGAATGGAATTCCAATCCTAGCTCTACCATCCCTTAGCTGTAAGACCTTGGACAAAGCATTAAATCTCTGTGAACATCAGTTTTCTATTTTGTGAAATGGAGATAGCCATATTTTTTTTTTTTGCAGCATAGGATTGCTTTAGAGCATTAATACAAGGAATGCATATAAAGTAGTTATCACAGTGCCTGGTCCTTATACATGCTCAATAAAACTTAGCTATTGTTATAATTGCCATCATTATTAAAATGTACAGGCATCACTCCCAGAAGGCAATTGCCCAGCAATGACAGCTCTCCCTGTGATTAGTACTCCATGATGGAAGCCTTTCCCATTCAGTATTCTATTCAGTGGGAATAAGCCAAGTGCATTTTCCTGGCAGGGAGGTCAAAAGTCCTAGAGGAGAAACAATAATATTCCAACGATCCCATGATAAAGTGGTATTGGATGAAGGCTATCTTATGGCAAAGTGACGTTAGATGAAGGATATCACATGGCAAAGTGGGATTGGATAGAAGGCTTCCCAACCATCAGGGAAGGACATTATCCGGGTGTCTCTATCTCTCCTCATTTGTCACTGTGGCCACCTTTCTTTTCCTCAGGTGGTGAAAATCACTGATCTCCAGGGACTGGTACTGGGACAAGAATTCTCTATTAGGTGGAATTTTTCGGTCAATGACACAGAAAAGTTCAACTGCTACCCTGAGGATCCCACTGCCTCCTCTGAGAAGTGCACGAATCGAGGGTGCCTTTGGGAGGTAAGGATGAGGAGCAAGTTAACGCAGTTGTAAAAAATGACCCAGGAGTGATTAGGCACCTAGAAACATTTTCCAAACATTGCTGGATTGAATGGGAATCATTCTTCAGAAAGAAAACAGTACTGTGCAACAGATGCACTGTTTTGTCAGTGCTGAGTGGCAGGCAATCAGTATTTTCCTCAGATATCCTATATGAGAAGCAACTCATTGCTACCCTGGCTCTCTCTTTTCTCTAACCCTCTTATTTTAAACCCCACTTTTAATGTCAACATAGCAATAATACATTGTACATTGAGTATTGTAACTGATTTTTTAAACCAATTAGAGTTAAGGCAGGAAGGTAAGGTCTGAGCCTTCCTCTCCATTTGAAAAATAGAGAGAATGAAAGCCAAAGAAAGAGAAAATAAGTGATTTTCTTAATGTCACAATGGGGGCAACTCTCCCATGGCAAAGTGGTATACATTGGGGACCTTGGGAGCAGAAACTTGCCTTAGGATTCCAGTCTGCAGATCAAGCTACCTGCTGACCTGACCCTTCACTACTCAACTGTTACAAACATACAGGTATTCCCACAAAATATATACACACTTCGAATAATTATTCATTCTAATGGGTTAAATCTGAAAAGAAGGAAACATTGAAATGAATAATTATTCTAAGTGTGTAAATATTTTTTGGGACACCCTATATTATTTCAGTGTTTTGAGAGCTGAAGTTCAAAATCAAGGTGTTAGCAGGGTTGGTTCCTTTTGAGGGCTGTAAAGGACAATTGGTTCCATGTCTCTCTCCTAACTTCTGGTGGTTTCCTGGCAATCATTGGTATTTCTTGGCTTATAAACATGTCACCCCAATTTCTACCTTCATCTTTCTCTGGCACATATCTATCTCTGTGTCTAAATTTCCCTATTTAATAAGGACACAAGTTAATATTGGATTAGGCCCACCCTAATACAATCATTTAACTAGGTGATTTGCAAAGATTCTATATCCAAATAAGGTACCAGGTGTTAGGACTTAACATCTTTTTTGGGGGGGAACATAATTGAATCCATAATAATGGGCACAGTGTCAGAGACTTATCCTGTGTTAACCAACTTTTTTTAGAAACCAGAGTGTGGTGTTGGAGGCTGACTGAGAATTCCTTCTCATTGCAGGACACAGATGTTCCTGGTGTGCCCACCTGTTTCTATGACACCATCCCTAAGTATGCTGCCAGTAGTATTGAGTATTTTCCCACTGGCATCACCACAGACCTTACCCACCTGACGGTCCCTGAGTCAGCGCGAGCAGCAGCACCATCACCAGGGAGTGCACGACCTCCACCTGCAGCAGCAGCCGCCACCTCTGACCCTCTCTCTGCAGCTATCAGCCACCTTAGGCTCAGTGTGACCTACCACACAGAAAGCATGCTGCAGTTCAAGGTAATGCCCGTGTTGCAGATTCCAGTCCTCAGTATGGAGTTCTTGTGAGATGGAAATTACTGAAACATCTTTTAGTCCAAATCCCTCATTTTAGAGTTGAGGTTGCTGAAGTCCAGAGAGGTAAAGGCCAGAAGGTCAGGAGATAGTAGAGTTGGGTATGGCCTTAGATCCACCTGGGTTGTCCATGTCCTATAGTAAAGGGTTCTCTAAGTCAGAAAGATACTCAAAGGATCACTCCTTAGCCCTGAGAACAATGTGTCTCCTTTTTGGTAAACTCATGTGGGTGCCATTGACTTATTTTGAACATTACAATTATTTTTCTAGCAGTTGATACTTCAACTTAACATGCATCAGAATCACTTGTAGCTCTTGTTAAAAGACATTTCTGGGTCTCATGCCCAGGGTTTCTAAGAAATTGTATTTCTAATGAATTCCCAAGTGATGCTGGCACTGCAAATTAAGAGGCCACACTTTGAGAATCACCACTCTGCTAAAATAGAAATAAGATGTAATCCATATATGTTTTCTAATAACCATATTTTTAAAAAATACTTTGAAAAAATAAGGTGAAATGGATTTTAATAGCATTTATTTTACCAAGGTGCTCAAATGTCATCAGTTCATCATGTAATCCAAATACAATTATTGAGACACTTTAGAATATTATGGTCAGATTAAATCTTCAAATTTTGGTGTGTATTTTACATTTATAGTGAGTTTCAGCTCAGATTAGCACATTTCAAGGCTTAATGGCCACACATGATTAGTGGGTACGACCTTAGACTCCTCACTCTAGATATTACTTTTCACATTTCAATGTTGGTGGATCACCACCGCAACCTGTTAAGTGGTTGAAACGAGTGGTTTGTACAAAGGACAATCTTAGGATTGAAAAAGCTGAGCAGCAACTGAAAGCTCAACTAGTAAATAGATCTCATAGTTCATATGAAAACTCAGTTCTCTAATTTCTAACATACATACACATGCTCACACATAGTTTTACACAGTTATGTGCACATACTGTTCACATACCGCACTCATAAACACACAGGCACAGGTTCTGTCTATGAGATTCTATACCCTTAAATTACAAATTGCTTAGAGGTAGTGCCCTCCTTGGCTTTGATGGGTATTGTTGAGGGTTTTTGGTGTTTTGTTTTTTTTTCCAGTTCAGTTTCTGTGTTGGGCATACCGGATGGGTAAGCCTCACATCTATTTGCTTTGAGATATTTGATGCTTCCTGATGAGAACTGAAATTTTTGGGTTTGAGATTTCATCAGAAAGTCTCCTTCTTTCTCATTGTCAGATCTATGATCCCACTAATAAAAGGTACGAGGTCCCAGTGCCTCTGAACACCCCTTCCTCTCCTGTTGGCTCACCTGAAAACCGTCTGTATGATGTCAGGATTCAAAGCAATCCTTTTGGGATCCAGATTCAACGAAAAAGCTCCAACACTGTGATGTAAGCACTATTTATTTGGTCCTAATTAGAGTGGTTCTAGATCTAATTACAGGTTCTAATGAATACAAGTGAAATATTAACCTTTGACACCCTACATGTTTGTTTGTGTTTGTTTGTTTTTAGACAAAGATGATATCTATCTCCCCTCCCCCCTCCCCCCACACACTTCAATGGGGATTTCATTTCATTTCTTTTTAAAAATATATATTTTATTCATTTTTTACAGAGAGGAAGGGAGAGGGATAGTTAGAAACACTGATGAGAGAACCATCGATCAGCTTCCTCCTGCACACCCCCTACTGGGGATGTGCCCGCAACCAAGGTACATGCCCTTGACCAGAATCGAACCTGGGACCTTTCAGTCTGCAGGCCAAAGCTCTATCTATGCACTGAGCCAAACTGGTTAGGGTAGGGATTTCATTTCTTATTGGTCATTAGCTCAGCAAGAACAATTAATCAAAGGCTTAAAAATACTAAGTATTGCTTGATTTCAGAAAAAGAAAAGTACATATTTTACTCATTAATCTTATTAAATAGATCAGAAAACTCTATATGCTTCATTAAGAAATAATAACAGAAGATCCAGGAGAGAGGAGCAAGGGGTAGTAAGGAGAGAGAATAGTGTCTTAAAGTTTTCACTGCTATTGACACTATAGACTACAGCCTTTTTATAACATTAAGCATGAAAGGAACTGGCACCTCTCATCCCTGACCTGCTGCTGCATGACATGAATCGCAGGTCTGGATTTGCCTGGGGCTGAAGCCTCCCATCCTATTGGAAGCTGTCACCTGTATGTGCACATATGGACAGCCTTTGGCTCTCTTTGACTATGTGTCTGACTTTCTATCTGTGGGCTTCTTTGTAAGAAGTTCTTTGGCTAATCCAAAAAGTAATTCTGAGTTTCACACTTTTCTATTAGAAAATTTGTTCAGATCTTATTCATTAGTTCAGGCTGATGTACCCGCAACAAGAACTAGAAATAAAGAGATGAGTGGGACTCTTAAGGGCCAATTAATCAGAAAAGGAGTTGCCAGTCTTGCAATCCATAGAATAAAAATGCAAACACAGAGCTGTGGTAGTGAGTGATGGCCATTCTTATGACCTGGGTCATCTCACAGTATTTGAACCTGGATCCAGGCGTGCAATCATTCAGGAGGATTCTCAATCAACTAGACATCCGAACTGTATTCCCTGTTTGCTCCAGCCTGTGATCAACTCTGCTCAAAGGTATGTCTCTGTGTTGCAGTTGGGATTCTCAGCTCCCAGGCTTCACCTTCAACGACATGTTCCTTTCCATTTCTACTCGCCTCCCCTCTGAGAACATCTATGGCTTCGGGGAAACTGAGCACACAACTTTCAGAAGAAACATTAGCTGGAACACGTGGGGAATATTTGCTCGAGATGAGCCACCAGGGGTAAGCACAGAAGAGTAAGATTATCCTTCAGTTGCTCTCTGTATAAATTTATTATAATCCACATATGTACCCTATTCATCAACTTCAGCTTATGTTGATAAATTATGCTCTCAAATGAAATAGGCCACATGTTATATAATGTCCTTCTGTCCCTAAATATCTTTTAATCTTTTAGAAAATATATATAGGGTGGGGCAAAGTAGGTTTACAGGTGGGTTATATATAAAATAATACAATATTAATAAATAATAATACAAGTGTAAACTCTGTGTTTACATGCTCACAACTGTAAATCTACTTTTGCACCACTCATGTGTGTGTGTGTATGTATGATATATATATATATATATATATATATATATATATACACACACACACACACACACACACACACACATAAATTCCATGTAGACTATGAATTTTATTTATTTTGTAAATTTTTATTTAATATACTCTATGTGTCAGCATGCATAGAATAAGACACTGTCTTATTTAATAAAACACTGTCTTTGTCCTCTAGAGGCTTGTAGATTAATGAAAGAGATGCGGAAATAATGATAACAATGCAGTCAGTGCTATCTTAGAATTATCTATATTGTAAAAGCCCAGAACTGAACGGCAGAATGGCTGGAACGACCGGACGCTATGACAGACACTGCGGCAGTCAACTAGCCTGATCCAGGCCCCAATCGGCCCCCAAACCTCCTGCATCCCCTCCCCCAAGCTGACCTCACCCCAATTGGGCCCCCCACCCCAACTGGGAGTGGTTGACCAATTGCCCACAGCCCTTCTTCCCCCATCCAGCTTCCCCCATTGGCCCCAATAGGGGCTGGGTGGCCAACCTCCCAGGGTACCTCCCTGCCAGCTAGCCAGCCCCTCAATAGGCCTCGATCACCAGCCAGGCTGAGAGACCTCACCCATGCTCAAATTTGTGCACTGAGCCTCTAGTGTAATAATAAACAAGAAGGATATGGAGGGGGATGGCACTTAGCTTTTTACTTGGGATAGAAGGAAAGGTCAAGGAAGGTTTCATAAAGGATATGACATTGTGCTAAATCTTTAGTGTTGAGTAGAAGTTGGCTGTTTGAGTTATAATGTAGACAGAATTTCTTGGATTTTCTCTTTTTGTTACTCATCTACTCTCCCCATGACTCTCCCAGAACAAGAAGAATTCCTATGGTGTCCACCCCTACTACATGGGACTGGAGGAAGATGGCAATGCACATGGAGTGCTTCTGCTAAACAGTAATGCCATGGGTAAGATAAAGACAGTTTTCCTGCAACCACTTTATCAGAATCTGGAACAGAAACAGAGGCTTGGTGCATGAAATTCATGCACAGGAGCATGGGGGTTGTCCCTCAGCCCAGCCTGCACCGTCTCCAATCTGGGACCCCTCAAGGGATGTCTGAGGGATTGGGCCTAAACGGGCAGTCGGACATTCCTCACAATCCAAGATTGCTGGCTCCCAACTGCTCGCCTGCCTGCCTTCCTGATTGCCCCTAACTGCTTCTGCCTGGTAGCCTGATCACCCCCTAACCACTCCCATGCCAGCCTGATTGTCTAACTGCTCCCCTGCCAGCCTGTTTGCCCCCAACTTCTCTCCTCTGTTGGCCTGGTCACCCCTAACTGCTCTCCCCTGCAGGGTTGATCGCCTCCAACTGCCCTCCCTTGCAGGCCTGGTGCCTAGTGCCTCCCAACTGTCCTCCCCTGCTGACCATCTTGTGGTGGCCATCTTGTGGTGGCCATCTTGTGTCCAAAAGGGGGCAGGACTTTTGACCACATGGGGACAGCCATATTGCGTGTTGGAATGATGGTCAATCTGCATATTTCTCTTTTATTAGATAGGATAGAGGCCTGGTGCATGGGTGGGGGCCAGCTGGTTTACCCTGAAGGGTGTCCAGATTAGGATGGGGGTTCCTTTGGGGCATGAGGTGTCCTGGGGGAGGGGTCTGTGGTGGTTTGCAGGCCGGCCACAGCCTCTGGCGACCCAAACAGAAGCCCTGGTATCTGGAATTTATTTACTTTTTACAATTGAAACTTTGTAGCCTGGAGTGGAGGCCTGGGCCAGCCAGGATGTGTGGAAAGCTTTGCTTCTTCCATTGCTATGGGCAACCCTAACCTCCAGTTCTTTCCAGCTCTGTGGCTGCCATCATGTCTGTTTGGATTTGTTTTCCTTCTATAATTGAAACTTTGTAGCCTTGAGTGGAGGCTTTAGGCTGGCAATGGCAGTCAGAAAGCTTGTCTTCCTCCATTGCTTGGGAAACCCAAGCCGCCCTTCTGTTCTCTGTGGCTATAGCCATCTTGGTTGGGTTTATTTGCATACTTGCTCTGATTGGCTGGTGGGTGTGATTGGTGGGCAGAGCTTGTGGGTGTAGCGGAGTGATGGTTAATTTGCATATTACTCTTTTATTAGGTAGGATAAGAAAATTTAATGGTCAGGAAAATGGGACACATAACCCAACCCCTTTCATTTATTCATCTATCCATGATTTATTAAAATCTCTAAGCCAGGTATTGGGAGTAAAATTTTGACTTAACATGGTTGCTACTTTGGTATGACCTTGTTTGACTGTGCCACTTTAATTACTTTTCACAGAATGTTAAAAAAGGTTGAGATTGAGATTATGTTTGGGGTACCTTAAAATCCATCTCTGATTTCACAGCATGAAATAAGACTTTCCAGGGGAGGTGGGCATTAAAGGAAGAGAATGAAAATAGCAAATATTAGGGCAGAGTCCCTGTCTGGGTAAATAATAGTTCTCAAGATGTTCCTCATGTTTGTGTGTATGTGTGTGTGTGTGTGTATGTGTGTGCGTTTGTGTTTTGTTGTTGTTTGTTTGTTTTTTTTACAGATGTGACATTCCAGCCTACTCCTGCCCTAACATACCGCACCACAGGAGGGATTTTGGACTTTTATGTAGTTTTGGGGCCAACTCCCGAGCTTGTAACTCAGCAATACACTGAGGTCAGAATTTATTGTATTCATTAATTAACCATTCAAGGCTTACTGGATATTGCACATTCTTAGCAGTGAGAAAGGCCAATTTTATTTTTACTAGAGGCCTAGTGCAAAAAATTCATGCTCTGGTAGGGTCCTTAGCGACTGCTGGCTGCCATTCTCCCCATCTGGCTCCCTGCCTCTGCCATCACCACTGCCGGCTGGGGCCACCCTTCCTACTTTCCCCCAGCCAGCCCCACCACTTGGTCAAATTCCCAGACAACGCCTGGTCAAGAGGACAATTTCCATACTATGCTTTTATTATATAGGATGTCCCTTTAGTATCCCTACTACATTAGCACTATCTTTTCTGAGAGTAGGTTTTTAGTGTTAAGGGATATTGATATCCCATATGTCTTTTAATTAAACCTTTCTCAGAATCTCTAATCATTAATAACCACTGAATTTTCAGATTTCTTAGAGTGGAAGCTCTAGAATATAGAGAGACTTTCTATTATTCTTCAACCCTATCATTTTTCTACATTTACTTGACTTTCTTATTTTTCTTGAATGAGACCTCTTAGATCAGACAGGCTGTAAGTAGAAGTGCTGAAATTGCTTCAAGCATAAGGCAACAATCTTTTTTTTACTCTAATAATCTACTTAGATCCATTTTTCTTTTTTATTCTAGTTGATTGGTCGGCCAGCAATGGTTTCATACTGGGCCTTGGGATTCCATCTGAGTCGCTATGGATACCAGAATGATGCTGAAATCTCCAATTTGTATGATGAAATGGTGGCAGCCCAGATTCCCTATGTATGAAGCATTCACCCTGCCTGTGTTTTAATTAGTAATGGGAATTTATGGCAAATTATAAATGTAAAATATCTTCATAGATATTACTGATGACTACTTCAGTACAAAGAAAATGTAGCTATGGAGCTAATCTTATGTGGAAACATTGATTTTTAAATTTATGTCATGGTCCCCTTTTCAAATCAAGGGTTAAAAACTGAGGGGCATGAATTCATCAGAAGTTAGCAGAGGATATTGTTACTTACTACTTCTTGTCAGAAATATCCTACAGTAGTCATGGTTTGTTGTAAGCCATGACTTTGGAGACTTCTAAGAGAGAATCATATCAAGATTATGACAATTTTAGGAGACTAACTGTGATGGTTTTTGGAGAGGGTGGATATAAAGTGACAATATGAAAAAAAGGAGTTAAATTCAAGCCTTCACTTGACTTAAATACAAATACTCATATATGCATTTACCACAATGAAATGTAGCCAAAGAAGTGCAGTCAATTACTGTCAACAAACAGAATTCCACACATAGCATGCTCATTATTTCTTATAATAGTCAAGTTCTCATTATACATTTTCTTTCTCTGCTTTTAACTCACCTCCTGAGATTTGGAGGACAATTAATGATTAGAAGATGAGAATAAATTATTATAATGTCTTCACTATAATTTGAAACATTCACCCAGACTTATTTTTTTTCTTTTTAGATACTATTATGCTATATATTACTAAATATAAATTAGAAAAGATAGGAAAATGAAAAGATGAAAAAATTCCATAGATATATCTTCCAATGCAACCAATGTTAATAATATATTGGTTTATTCTTTTCTAAGTTTTGGCTTATGCATAAATCTCTGCTCCCTCAAACAAGTTTTGCCTAGAGTTTTAAGACAATACAGGTGATTATCAACTTTAGGCTAAAGAGAAACATCTCTTGTTTCAACTGAATATTAACCATCTAGGCATCATTCAACAATCTTGAATTGTGTACATATCATGTGCAGAAACCTAGGTTGGTTGACATTGTGTTGAGAAAAGGGAAGACAAGGTTTTCATCTCAAAGACAATCCAAACAATTGGGGATGGTGGAAATAGTATATTTTAGAATGCTATAAAATAATGTAGTTCTTAAATGTGAATAAATTCAGTCAGGTTTACTGGAGGAAAAAAGGGAAAACAGGTATACAATCTTTTTTTTTTTTCATCAGGGAAGTCTGCTTTCTATTCTTGAACATTTAACCAGAATTTTTTTTGATAGGCTCACCATGTTTGAGATTTGAAGAGTGGAAAAGACATGAATTGAGGGAAGGAAAGGGGAAAGAATTCCAGTGTGTATGTGTGGGAGAGATAGAAGCAAAAGGAATAGGAGCAGGTGATCTGTATGCAAGAACCAGATAGCAAATTCAATCAGCAGAGTTGACAAGTGGGTGTAGGGGAGTAATGAGGTAAGTTTGGAGGGACTTGGACTGAAGTCTACAAGCAGCAGACCTGGAGCCTGGCAGAGCAGTATGTGTGCCCTGAGGCTACTGTTGCAAGATCCCTAACACCTTGCTTGTCCTTCCTATAGGATGTTCAACATGTAGACATTGATTACATGGACCGGAAGCTGGATTTCACCCTCAGCACCAACTTTCAAGACCTTAGTCTGCTGATGGAGCGAATGAAGAAAAATGGCATGAGATTTGTCCTCGTTCTGGTAGGTACTTACAAATATTAAATCTCATTCTTTTGTGTTCATGTTTTAAAAATAGCACCATTCAAGGAAATGAGATGAAGAGTATAGGACAATTCCCTGTATAATTTTTGCCTGTGGATCTATAATTACTTTTTTTTAAGTTTGAAAAAGCAAATAAAGGAGGAAAAACCCCCAAAGAGGCTTTTTAAAAGATGATGCTTTACAATATTTATTTTTCATGACTGAGTATAATTTATTGTTACTGTTCTCTTGGTAGAATTAGAAGAACTGTGGGATAAAACACTGAATATAGCAACAACAAAAAGTCTCACTATTTCAGGCTATGCTTTAGAATAGCTGTGTCTTAGTCTTATCTTTACTGTAGGGTTTTCAAAAACCTGTTTTGTCATCATCCAGCAATGGTGAAGCTCAGGGGACTTATTTCTTCTTAATTAAACTCACAAACAACCTAGTGAAGATCCAGGAGACTGATTGATTATTTTGCATTGGAAGTTATATTTTGATTAAACACAGAAGTAGTTACCTGCAAATGGTCCTCTCTTATAGCTTCCAAAAATTAAAGCATTATTTGCTGACTTCTGTTTGTTGGTTCATTCATTCATTCATTTATTCAAGTATTTGTTAAGCCCTGGGTCTTTGAAAATTACCATTATAAAAGGTTTGTGTGTGTGTGTGCTTGAAATTTAAATTCATTAGGAAGATAATGTCTTTATAGGGATTATATTATACTAGAGGCCTGGTGCATGAAATTTGTGGATGGGTAGGGTCCTTAAGCCTGTCTAGTGATCAAGGCCAATCTGTAGGGTGACCAGCAGGGTGATGGGTGGAGAACCTTGCTGACACCCACCTTGGTTGGCCTGGGGCCTACAGGCTGGGGGCAGCTCCTGCATTGAGCATCTGTCCCCTAGTGGTCAGTGCACATCATAGTGACCAGTCATTCCACTGTTTAGTTGATTTGCATATTAGGCTTTTATTATAGAGTGTTAGAGGAATACAACCAATTAATAAACATTAAAAATATAATTTGGGGTAATAATGATTTATATGACAGTTGTGAAATAGGATACTATTGTAGAAAGTAATTGGGGTAGGAAAAGAATGAGGTTAATGGGAAGGCCACTTTAGATGGGCAGTCTAGCCACAGAGTAGAAGAAAGAAATTTCACATTTTTAGAGAATATTGCTATGACACTGTTGAAATACAGTAAATTGCCTTTCTCTATGTGAGGGTAATGTCTTGCTAACCTAGTTTCTCTCCAGTATTTTTTTTTTTACCCCAAACATTAGCATACTTTTTTTTCCCTCTTGGGAATTTTATAGAGAACCATCAATATATTCTTTTACTCTCAACTACTCAATAGACATAGGCAAATTATCCTGGGTTTTATTTTTATTTTTATTTTGTTTGTCTATTTTAAAGTTCACCATTTCTTTCTGTATCATGAATTGTTAACATTTTGGAGATCATTTTTCTTGGAAATATTTTTCTCATGTTTTCTCTTTTAAACCTTTTTGTTGCAGAATCCAGCCATTTCTGGCAATGAGACTGATTATCTCCCATTCATAACAGGGCAGAAAAACAATGTATTCATCAAATGGCCTGACAGCAATGACATTGTCTGGGGAGAGGTAAGAATTAGGAGGAGATGCCTGTAATTAATCAGCATTTCAATTGATTGAAAGAGGCTCTTCATAAATCTTGGCAAAATGTATTGGATAATTTATATTATGAATAAGTAGAAATCTGTTTGATACTGTTACTTAATGAATATTCATGAGACCAAGGTCAAAGGTCTAATCCTTTATCAGTGAGTTTTGTTATATTGCCTGGAAATATTCTGGTGTCCCAATCCTTATGTATGCCAGCTGGTCATTTAGCACACATAAATAATCCCTTTGAGAATGGCTCTGAAATCTGTGTCTCCCAGTAACCCATACCCAAACTGTGTACTCATCTTTGGCCTATGATGCTTAATCAGCCATTATATTTAAATGAATCACTAGATCTTATGTATTATCCTCCTTTTGTCTCCTTTTTGGGGTCCCCATTGTTTGTTTTATGGCAACAAGATTCAAGGTGAACTTCCTGACTCCAGGTGACAGGAACTCTCAGCCAGGATTCAGACTCTGTTCTATAATTACACTGTGCTACTTTCTCTTGCTCTGTGCAGTGCTCACTGTGCCTTCTCAGTTCACCCAAATAGTGAGGCCAGCTCAAACATTGCCTCTTGTGAAGAATTCAATGCCTAGTTTAACTCTCACTGTTCCTTCATTTTCCATATTACTCCCTGTAGAGGAAACACCATACAACTTATGGTGTTTCCTCTTTGGTCCATCTTTGAACTTTTAGAAAATAAGGACTTTTATTTTAGCATTTATGGTCCATCTTTGAACTCTTAGAAAATAAGGACTGTTCTTATTTAAATCCAAGTAGATATAGTCCATAAAAGAGTGCCTTGCACAAAGAAGTGCTCAATAAATGTTTCCCAAATGAATGAGTTAATATATATAGTTAATGTCTTTCTAATCATAGATAAAAGTGGTTTATAATATAGATTTCTTTTTTAAATAATATGGATTTCTTAATACTACATACACTTTTGATTCTCAATAAGTCATGATGCTGCTTAAAAGTATTGCTGCTTAAAAGTATTGAGGCTAAGTTAATGGGATGAGAATGAAAATTGATCTTATTTCTCTAGAGTCAGATTTCACATTTGTTATTTATAAAAGGAATTTTGTATAGGTCCAGGGCAAACATATCAGAGAGCTGAGTAATCATTTGAAAGATGATTGATCATTAAGTTCAAAAATAAAATTTTGATAACTTACGGAATGTGTCAAGAGACCCAGCCTACTTCCACCTAACAGAATTTCATACATTCAGAAGTTAGAATTTAGTGGCAATGGTCCCCAAGAGTTTTATGGAGATGCGTGTCATCAGAATCTAACATGTGAAGCAGCTCATCGCCTACATGTGATACCGTTTAAAAGTTTTACGTTTTTATTTAATTTTATGTTAATAGTTGACAGTATAATGGATATTCTCTCTCCCCACAAAGCTCCCTTCCTCTCTGCCCAGCCCCACATCAGTCCTTCCCCCACACTATTTGTTGAATGTGTCCATAGGTTATGCATATATGTTCTTTCTTGGTTAATTTCTTCCTGTCCCCCCACCTCTCCCTCCTCTGAGATCTGTCAGTCTATTCCATGTATCCATGTCTCTGGATCTATTTTTTTTTTTTTATCAGTTTATTTTGTTCGTTAGATTCCATTGATAAATGAGTTCATGCCATACTTGCCTTTCTCTGACTGGCTTATTTTGCTTAACATAATAATCTTCAGGTTCAAATGGTGAGAGATCCTTCTTCTTCTTCTTCTTCTTTTTTTTTTTTTTTTTTTTACAGCCACATAGTATTCCGTTGTGTAGATGTTCCACCGTTTTTTAATCCACTCATCTGCTGATGGGCAGTTAGGCTGTTTCCAAGTCTTAGCTATGGTGAATTGGGCTGCAATGAGCTAGGGTTGCATATTTTCTTTCTAATTGGTGTTTCAGGATACTTAGGATATATTCCCAGAAATGGGATCACTAGGTCAAAAGGCAGTTCCATTTTTAATTTTTTGAGACACTACATGCTGTTTTCACAGTGACTGCACAAGTCTGCATTTTCACCAGCAGTGTACTTTCCCTTATATCCTCACCAGCATTTATTGTTTGTTGATTTATTGATTATAGCCATCCTGGCAGGTGTGAAGTGATACCTCATTGTAGTTTTAATTTGCATCTCTCTGGTGGTTAGTGATGTCAAGCATTTTTTTCATATTCTATTTAATTGGTTAAGTTGAGTGTGTTTGTCACCTGGTAATTTCTTGGCAGAAAAAAAAAAGATCCTCAAATGGAAACTTCAATAAGCAACTAAACTAGAAATGTGTAGTAGGGAATCATAAGTGAAATACCTGTATGTGTATGCCTTCAATGGGTTGCTTTGTTTGAATATCATGTTGCTTGAGAAATAACAAGAGTCTAGAATATTTTCACTGAAGAGGTTATGAACAGACTGAGTTTCAATGAATTGTCCACATGTAAACCATTTAAAAGGAGTAATGTCTTTCATCTCAACACTTGATGACACATCAGCTTATAGCTCACTCTGTAGCTCACTTTTCCTTGGATGGCTGGTCTCCTTCATTTGACCAATGTAGAAAAAACATCTACAGCTCTGAAATTTCATAGTTAGACACTGACAGTTAACTTTCCTGTTCATATGATTAAATGCCCAGTCATAAAATGAACCCCCTGGTTTAAAAAACAAAACAAAACTTAAGGCTAGCCTTCTAGGCAAATGAAGATTGAAATCAGCCTCCCCTGATCTCTTTGTGTCCACAATAAATTCTGTGAAGCAGCAGCAGAAGTGGCTTAGGTCTCACAATGTGTGTGGGGGGGAGAGTACTTTGCACAAGAACCCGCTCACCCCCTCTTCCTGGTTCCCACACTCCAGTCCTGAACAGGCTGAGACCCAGTGTGAGAGTCTGTGTTATTTTTCCAGCTGTACAAATACCACATGGCTTATCCTGACTTCCTGCGTAACAGCACAGCTGCTTGGTGGAAGGAGAAAATAAAAGAGCTCTACACAAACCCTCAAGAGCCAATGAAGAGGTTGAAGTTTGATGGACTGTGGATTGTAAGTGCATCATTAGTGGGTTTTCTTTGGAAATGCTGGAAATACAAGCACGAGGAGGCAATTCAGAAACTGGCAAAGCAGGTAGCTAAGGCTGGAGGAGTAAAAGGGAGGGATGCTGGTACAGAATGGAGATTCTCAGACCACCGAGAGGAGCAGAGGGAGTTGTAGGTCTGCCCGGGGACATATTGGGTAAAGGAAGTTGGAGATTAATGGAGAGATGTGCCACCACTGGAGATAATGCCAGATCAAAAGGCACAAATATCCTGTCTTCTCTTAGCTCCCATCCTCTAGTCTCGCCTTCCATTGGCCAAATCTCCCCTGAAGCCTTCAGTAAGAGAGCCCGAGAGACCACCCGTGATACAGCAGACCTGGAGGGGAGAAGGCCTGAACCTGAGGTGAAATAGATGCTCACCACAGTGCTGATAGCAAGTCCTCTGAGGAAAAGGCTCCAAAGGCCTGTTCAGATGTTTGTTACACATACCTGTTACACATATCTGTGAGGCATAAGAGCAGGGCTTCCTGAGATGTCTCTGGGACGTGTGTTCAAAGGCTCTTCTATTTGTGTGTCTTGAGAGATGGGAAGCATAGCAACATCCCAGTTTCCTTCCCCACAGAATCAATGAAGCAGCCAGCTGTGTGAGAGTTTAAATAAGATCCTTTTGGCTGTGACAGGAGCCAGTCTCTAGGAGGTCAGTGTTCTCCCTAGCCAAGGCCACTCTGTCTCCTCTGACATCATGGAATCTGTTCTGCTAATTTATTTCAGGACAAGAATGAGCCATCAAACTCTGTGGATGGATCTGTCAACGGTTGCAGGGATGAAATTCTTAATAAGCCACTTTATATGCCATGTATGTAAAGGATTGCTTCCTTAAATTACTGCCCTGCTTAAAACGCTGAAAGTTTTCCTCTTGTCAAAGTGAAGCCTCATGTTGGAGAGAGAAAACATTCTTAAACATGAGCTAAAATCCCAAATAGAATACCTTGAATAAGTACAAATAAATAAATTATGGATCAAGCATAGAAATAATGACTTGATGTGGTATGAAAGAATGCAAGCAATGAATGCTGCATCTAATTACATTTATAACTATGAACTGATTGCTAAAACTTTAGGTAACACCCTACACACACACACACACGCACACACTCTTTTGATTAGAGAATGAAACTCTAGCCCCTGCACTTTCTCTGCCTGTGTTCATAGACACTGATGAAGGGCATGCCCAGATTGTCCTATGGAACAAACAGCAATAGAGACTACAGGACCTGGGGATCAAAGGAATCTGAGAGTTGAACTCTCTCACCTTACAGAAACATGAGAAGGAAGTGACTCACCTTCCTACAAGCACTATACCAGGAACTTGTGGGATGAAGCCTGGAATCAAAGTTTTTAATGTCTACATCATTGCTATGTTTCCTATTGTTTGGTGATTCCCTTTCTCTTCCCTCCCTCCCTCCCTCCCTCCCTCCCTCCCTCCCTCCCTCCCTCCCTCCCTCCTTTTCTCCCTCCTTCCCTTCCTCCTTTCCTTCCTCCTTCCTTCTCCTTCCTTCCTTCCTTCCTTCCTTCCTTCCTTCCTTCCTTCCTTCCTTCCTTCCTTCCTTCCTTCCTTCCTTCCTTCCTTCCTTCCTTCTCCTTCCTTATTTTTTCCTCTTCACTTAAGGTAATATTTGTGTATCAGACAAGTATTGACAAATCAGAATGATTTAGCAACATTAACACAAAGTTGGTTGAAACAAGATTCATTCCCTTGAGAACATTTCCATCTAGTGGAAGACACAGTCATACAACAAAGGAGTGTATGATGCTGATAAAGGGGCATAGGTCTTACTCTATAAATGTTCGAGTTGGAGCATAAAGAAGGATGCCTTTACCAGCTCTATTCCCTGCCCTTACTCTCATTAGTTACAAGGTCACAGAACATTGTTGTTTTTATTAGACAAAAGAAATTCTTGAAATTGGAGCTGCGACTGGTGATAAAGGTGTTGTTTGAAATAGAGCAATGCCAAGATGATGGGCATTTCTAACGAATGTGCAGATAAAGTTGTTCGGAACATAACTTGGCATTTCCTCTTAGATTTGGAGTCCAGGGACAGGGGTCTCAGCAGCAAGACCCTGTGCATGGAGAGTGAGCAGACCCTGCATGATGGCTCCCGGGTGCGGCACTACGACGTCCACAGTCTGTATGGGTGGTCCCAGACCAGACCCACATACGAGTGAGTGTGCTTAGCTACTGGAAGCAAGGGTCATTTTCCACACTGCTACTTAAATATATATATATATATATATATATATATATATATATATATATATATATATATATATTAGAGGCTTGGTGCATGAAAATTTATGCATTAGAGGTGGGTCCCTCAGCCTTCCCAGCGCCCCCCCCCCCCAGCCAGGGAGCCCTTGGGGGTGGGAGGCCACCCAGCAATCAGGAAAAGACGACACCCCCATCACACCTCTGCTGCTGCCATTGCTGGAGGCACAAGCCTTGAATAGCGCTGGTTAACTGAGTCTTAGACAACCCTGGGTGGCTGGATAGTTGCCATTTGAGGCTTGCCTGCACCTTGGGCCTGCCCTGGGGGGCTGGGGGGTTGAGAGGACTGGGGGACTCCAGAGACAGGCATGGGGAGCAGCCGGACCCACCTGGAGAGAGAGTAGAAGAGAGGGAGAGAGAGAAACTCCAATGTGAGAGCAGATCATTGATCTGCTGCCTCCTGCATGCCCACTACTGGGATTGTGTCTGGACCAGCAATCCTTCAGTGCATGGGAAGATGCCTAACCAATTAAGCCACACACCCCAGGGCATTTTTAAAGAATTTTTTAATTGAAGGTCTTAGAGTTCTTGCCAGCTGGCATGGGGCATTCATAGGCCTCCTGTGTTTGCTAATTGGCCTTACTCAAAGGAAAAGTTAATTTAACCTGTTGTCAAGGTCTGGTTCCAGAGTCAAGAAGAAGCCTGTCTAAGGTTTAGACAAGGTCAACAAAACGTTAAAGCCATCTCAGTCACCTTAAATGCCTCTATGTCTTTTATCCCTTTTGCCAAGGGCATAAGCATATAAGGCACCACTTCAGGCTTCAGGCAGTTTGTAAGACAGCCTTACCTTTCACTGCCTGTTTGAATGCAGCCAGAAGTTAAGTCACTGGGAGGGACCTTCTTCTTTCCTGGTTCTTTCTTGGGCATGCGCTGTGCAGTCTTTTCGATCTCCAGGAACATGGAGGGACTTTACAAAGTTCTCTGTGGTGGTGGTGGATATGCTGTCTTCTCCATCCAGCTCTGCTGCTGACGATGTAGGCTGATCCTCAGGACCTCGTCCTTCTTCTGGCTGACATATGGCTCAATAAACACCTTTTTTCTTTTTTTTTTTTTTCTTTTCAGAAAAGCTTTTGGCTGTGAACGTGTTTTTTTGTTTTGTTTTGTTTTCTTTTTAAACATTTTCTAATTCTCCAGAATTTACTTTTAAATTACCAGCCAAGCTTTTATTTTCCCCAACTGAAACCAGAACCTGAGCACCTGTGAATCTGCCAGAAAATGGTTACTGTCTTAGTAATTCCCTGTATGTGGGTATTTTCTCTCTCTGCTGAGTTGAGCTGCGAGTCTAATCAAATAGCCACCATCCCTGGGAATGGAGATTTTCCAGGAGACTGGGGGTTAGAAATAAACATTGTATCGTGCTGTGGGGATGGAGCTTTTAACAAAGCTTCAAAAAGGTGAGACCTCTCATTTTGCTGCAAGTCTGCTGGCTTTTGGTGCCAAGTGAGCTAGGGAAGGCTTGGGCTAGAAATAGACCAAGTTAAAATCCCATATAATGCACTGTCTTGCCAAGATTTAGTAGTTTCTCCTGGAGAAATTGTTTTTCACTTCTTTCTGTGGCTGGTTAATTTCTAGAGTTCTGAAATGGTCATTAGCAGAGTTCTTCACATCACCCACATCCATCCATCTTTACTCTACATCCCTGCCTCATGTCAGGCCTTTATTATCTCTCACTCAGACGTGTGCACGCATGCACACAATCTCCGTCCATTTTGGGATTTACTGTGGTGTGAAATATTGGACCTCCTAAATGCGTCTGTTTCCACTACAATAGCTGGCTTCTTTTCCTAACACCATGTATTGAATAAGTCATCTGTGTCTATTGATTTGTAGTGCCGCATTTAACAAATATTTGGATTGCCTCATATGCTAGCATCTAATTGACTTTCTCTTTTGTTCCACTGATTTTTCTCTCATACAATTGTTTATAATTTCTTCCCGAGGCTGCAGGCAAAGATCCACCTTCAATCAAGAAATACTTAAACATCTTTTCTATTTATTTGCTTTTGTGGCAAAATTGATTCTGCTTTTTGAGGAGTTGCATGGGAGAGTGAATATTACCAAAAAAGCTATAGTCATATATGCTTTTATTTAGATCCCAAATCTGCCTTCTTGTTGTTTAAGTGACTTTTGACTAATTATTTAACTTCTCTGAGCCTCAGTTTCCAAACAGTACAGAATGGTAAAAGGAACCTTTTGTGAGGTTGTGAGACAGTACGCATGAAAGTAACCAATACAATACCTGGAATAGAGTAATTGTTCCCTAAATACATAGGTCCTATCCCCTCTTCCTATCCCCATATGGACAGCTAGTTAACTAGATTTTTAAAAGATTTTTTAAAATTGATTTTTGGATGGAGAGGAAGGGAACAAAACATTTATTGACTGCTTCCTGCATGCCTTCTACTGGGAATTGAGGCTAAAACCCAGGCATGGAATTGATAAGGCAACCTCTCAGTGCGTGGATGATGCTTAACCAGCACACTGGCCAGTGCTAAATTTTTTTTTTTTTTTAAGAAAGGAAATTTATATTTTAGGTATTTCCATTTATCTGGTTCTGATGGGCCTCTTAACGTCACTTTTAAACAGCAGATGCTTTCAGGGAAGAAGCTCTCTGGCTAAAATTGAGCCCCATTGCCGCCTCATGCTCGGGGCTGAAGCGAGGCTCCTTAATGAAGTTCTGTGGATGTCAATCCTCAAATTCACCCTCTTCCCCTTCCTTGTTCCCTTCTAACCAGAGCTGTGCAGGAGGTGACGGATCAGCGAGGGGTCGTCATTACCCGCTCCACATTCCCCTCTTCTGGCCGCTGGGCAGGACACTGGCTGGGAGACAACAAGGCTGCCTGGGACCAGCTGAGGAAGTCTATCATTGGTGTGTGGCTTATCCCAGGGGCCTCTGCTGGCAGGGAGGAGCCTGAGATGTTTGCTTCTCATCTGCATGGGTTGTGTCTAATCATCATGGTTGTAGGCAGTGTAATCAACAGGTGCTGAGTTCTCTCTTGGTGTGCATTTTAATCAATACCCATCTTTTTATTTGTTCATCATGACTAGCCCAAGGCTTTCAAATGGGGGACAGAAAAGACAGGGAAAAACTAACCTCCCAAAAGGTTGCTTTCTCCAACACAGCTATATCTTCTCATTGCAGGTATGATGGAGTTCAGTCTCTTTGGAATACCTTATGTAAGTCATATCGGGGGCCATTACTAATGAACCAGTCAGATTCAGTGTGTCTGCACATACAAAAGTCCCACCTCTTGCCCTGATTTTGCATCTTCTCAGACAGGAGCAAATATTTGTGGATTCCTTGAAGATGCTGAATATGAGATGTGTCTTCGCTGGATGCAACTGGGGGCATTTTATCCATTTTCCAGAAACCACAACACCATTGGGACAAGGGTGAGGCAGCAGTTTATGCCCCAGGTGTTTTGTGTCCTCAAATTACAATTTTCTTTTTAATGCTCAAAAGTATTATAACTATTTGTTAGAAGACTCATAAAAATCAACAGAATCTCCATTTCTTAAGAAAACACACAGCGTTAAAACAAACAAATAATGATTAACAATGATTTTCAAGAATATACTTTTCCTCATCTTTTGGTGGAATAATTGATAGTGCCCTGAGGGGCTGAAATAAAAGTAACTTCCTTTACCTTTAAAAATAGTGAGTATGCATTTTGCTCAAATCCATCCAAGATAGGTTAGTGCCTCATAGAACTCTATCTCTCTATGCATATGCAGGGTCAAGACTAGACCTGAGCAGGGGACTATGGAGCCCATTATAGAAAGGAGGAAGCAAGAATGGTGAGAGTGGGGGAAAGGATAGGCTAGAAATGAAAGGAGAAATGGTGTGTAGCCTAACCATGGGACATGTGCCTTCAGGTACTTTTCTGATACCATTAGGATAAAGTAAAAAATAGGTGATCTGTGATATGCTCCTTTATTCCCTTAGAGACAAGATCCTGTGGCCTGGGATTCAACCTTCAAGACATACTCAAGGAAAGTCCTCCAGACCAGATACACCCTGCTGCCTTACCTCTATACTCTGATGCACAAAGCTCACGTTGAGGGCAGCACTGTTGTCCGCCCCCTCTTCCATGAGTGAGTAGAACCTATTTCCCCATGCAGCGGGACGGGGTATGTTGTATGAATAACCCTCTGCAACAGTTATAACAGTCTGAGTAGACGTTTTATGCCTGTTTTTTAAGGTTTAGAGAGGACAGGACAACGTGGAATATAGACCATCAGTTCATGTTGGGCCCTGCCATCTTAATCAGCCCCGTGCTAACAAGTGTGAGTTCTCATCGTAGATCATAAACCCTCAAATCACATATAGGGAACAGGAAGGGCATTTGACAAATCATCTTGTTCAGCTCACTACTTCTAGAATATTTCAGGGATTTCTTTTTTCTTTTTGAGGTCTTTGTTAATGAAAACAACTTCAATTAATTTGAGGTCTTTGTTAATGAAAACAACTTTAATTAATTCCTTGTTTTAATATCTTGTCACCTTGCATCCTTATAAAGTTGACCTTTTTTAAAATATATATATATATTTTTTTTTCTGTGTGTTTGAAATGAATTTCCCAGAATCTTTCTTAATAAAATTACCCAAACTCTTAAAAATCATTAATGAAATACTCATTTTTATGTTAATCCTACAGAATTTTAAAAATTGACATTATTGAGATATTCATAATGACCTATTGGTTTTCTGTTTCAGAACACTTTTGAAGTCCATGCTTATTTCCCCAGAGCCCGTTGGTATGACTATAGCACGGTAAGAACTAACATGTTTTGTGAAGAACCAGGTTGGTCTATGCAGGGCAGGAAGTTGTCTCCTGAATTCCAGGCACCTATTTTATAAAGCAATAATTTTTAACTTCTCATTCCTGCAAGGTTTCTTTAGATAAAAGTATCCATAAAATGCTCTGGCAGGTGTGAGTCAGTTAGTTGGATATTGTCCCATGTGCCAAAAAGTTTCTTGTTCAATTCCTTGTCAGAGCACATGCCCAAGTAGAGGGCTCCATCTCTGGTTGGGGTCATCTCTGGAGGCAGCCAATCAATGTTCCTCTCTCACATTGATGTTTCTTGCTCTCAAAAAAATAAAAAATGTATCTATAAAAGTATAAGTAGGCAAAATCTGATACCCATATCACACTGAGTTCTCCCCCACCCTCTACTTTTTCTGGAGAATAAAAAGAAAAGACTAGATTTCTAAAGTTTTCAACAAAGCTGAAAATTAAAGATTTTTTTCTATTTGTAGTATTTTGATAACTTCATTGGGAAGAAAGACTTGTTGTATAGCATGCATTTATTTTATCTATCTGTTGTGGATGCTTGCCTGCATTCTCCATTCTAGGAAACTGGCAATACATCAACAGGTGAGTGGAGAACCTTGGAGGCTCCCCTTGACCACATCAACCTTCATATCAGAGGAGGCTACATCTTACCTTGGCAGGAGGCTGCAATGAACACTTACTCCAGGTAAGAAAGGGAGAGGCAGTGTCTGATGGCCTCACTTTGACACAGTGAGACAGCCTCATGGGGGCTGCCCACCTCAACTGGGGTTCTGTGGATAAAATCGAAATCACAGGTAGTTTCACTGTTCTGGTTCTATGAGTGCCTTCTGAGTGGAACCTGGGGTAGGATGAGTTCATGAAGTCAGGCTTGGGGAGATCATTTATCTGTAGAGTTACATCAGAGGTCTAGGACAAAAAATTTTCTGGGGCAGCAGCATATACTTCTTTCTATACTATTAAAAAATTGAGAAATATTGATGAGCTCTTTGATTTGTGATGGCTATACAGGGATTTAGTGCTCACTCCCATTCAGCTTGGATTGACCCAGGAGAGATTATATATATCTATATCTCTATATATCTCTCTATAAATAACTATCTTTGTCTATGTCTATATATATGTCTATGTTTATGTCTATGTATCTATGTATCTATGTATCTATGTATCTATGTATCTATGTATCTATGTATCTATGTATCTATGTATCTATCTATCATCTATCTATCTATCTATCTATCTATCTATCTATCTATCTATCTCTATCTATCTATCTATCTATCTATACTAAAGGCCTGATGCATGAAATTTATCTGCAGGTATGGTCCCTAGGCCTGGCCTGCAATCAGGGCTATCTTATCTAGCTGCCCACAGCTGGCTCTGACCCCCACCACCACCCACCCCCTGTACCCCATTTGCTGTCAGATGATCAGTGCCTGACAGCCGGGGGAAGGGACCGAGAGTTGGTCACTGCACCTCATAGTGACTGGTTCAGTGTTTGTTCCGGTCATTCTGCCATTAGTCAATTTGCAAATTGCCCTTTTATTATATAGGATATATATGTGTGTATAAATAAAATAATAAAAGCATAATATGCTAATTAGACTGGACAGCCGAATGACCTTTCAGACATCATTCTAGACATCCTGCCGGGTGAAGCCATGGAGGCAGGTCTGAGGCAGAGGCAGTTAGGGGCAATCAGGGAGGCAGGTGAGTGGTTATGGGGTGAGGAGGCATGCAGGCAGTGATGGTTAGGAGCAATGAGGCAGGCAGGTGAACAGTTAGGGGTGATCAGGCAGGCAGGCAGGCAAGTGGTTGGGGTGATCTGGGAGGCAGGTGAGTGGTTAGGAGCCAATGGTCCTGTATTGCAAGAGGGATGTCCAACCCTTCAAGGGGTCCCAGATTGTGAGAGGGTGCAGGCTGGACTGAGAAAACCCCAACCCCCCCATACACAAATTTTGTGCACCAGGCCTCTTCCTCTAGAGTGTGTGTGTGTATGTGTGTGTGTGTACTAGAGGCCCAGTGCAAAAATTTGTGCATGGGGGGGTGTGTCCCTCAGTCCAGCCTGCACCCTCTCTAACCTGGGACCCCTAGAGGGATTTCTGACTGCCTGTTTAAGCCTGATCCTGGTAGGATCAGACCTAAACAGGCAGTTGGACATCCCTCTTACAACCAAGGACTGCTGGCTCCCAACTGCTCGCCTGCCTGCCTGCCTGATTGCCACTAACCACTTCTGCCTGCCAGCCTGATCGCCCCTTAACCATTCCCCTGCCAGCTTGATTAATGCCTAACTGCTCCCTTTGCCAGCCTGTTTGCCCCTAACTTCCCTCTCTTGCAGGCCTGGTCATGCCTAAGTGCCCTCCCCTAAAGGCCTGGGTACCCCTAACTGCCCTTCCCTATAGGTCTGGTTGCCTCCAACTGCCCTCTGTTGCAGGCCTGGTCCCTCCCAACTGCCCTCCCCTGCTGACCATCTTGTGTCCATATGAGGCAGCCATCTTGTATGTTGGAGTGACTGTCATATTACTCTTTTATTAGATATTATATCTACACACACACACACACACACACTGAGTGGCCAGAGTGCATTCAAAGATCAAATAATCTGGCCACTCAGTGTATCCTATATAATAGAGAAGTAATATGCAAATTGACTATCACTCCAATACACAAGATGGCTGCCACAAGAAGGCCAGCAGGGGAGGGCAGTTGTGGGCGATCAGGCTAGTAAGGGAGGGCAGTTAAGGGTAACCAGGCCTTCAGGAGAGACCAGACCTGCAGGGGAGAATAGTTTAGAGTGACCTGGCCTGCCGAGGAGGGAAGTTGGGAAGACCTGGCCTGCAGGGAGGAGAGGGGGAGGCAACTGGGAGGACCAGGCCAACAGGAAGGACAGTTATGGACAATCAGGCTGGCAGGGGAGCAGTTAGTCATCGATCAGGCTGGCAGGAAAGTGGTTAGGGGGTGATCAGGCTGGCAGGCAAAAGCAGTTAGGGGCAATCAGGCAGGCAGGCAGGTGAGCAGTTGGGAGCCAGCAGTCCTTGGTTGTAAGAGGGATGTCCAACTCCCGTTTAGGTCCAATCGGACATCCCTCTAGGGGTCCCAGATTGGAGAGGGTGCATGAGGGACACACACACCACTGCATGCATGAATTTCATGCACTGGGCCTCTAACACACACACACACACACACACACACACACACACACACACACACTAGAGGCCCAGTGCATGAATTCATGCATGGGTGGTGGGTCCAGCCAGCCTGGCCAGGGGAAGGGGACATGGGCTGTTGGCCGCCCTGCTGCTGGTTGAATTCCTGGTCGAGGGGAGAACTTGCTTTTTATTATATAGGATATACACTGAGTGGCCATATTATTATGTGTTCAGAGATTATAATAATCTGGCCACTCAGTGTATATACACACAATATACACACATATTATATCTTATTAAGAGGACCTGTTTTATCAAGAGAGACAACTCAAAAGAAGAGAAGTTAATTGTTAGTCTTGTGCAAAGCATGATTTTATATGAAAGAGAGCTTTGAGCTGAGTTTGGATAATAAATAGGATTTGAGTGTTTGAAAAAGAATGAGATATTCTGAGAGAATTAAAGAACCAAAGATGAAACATGAGTTGGATTTGGAGAATAGTAAACCATTCAGCTTAACTGGAGCAGAGGAATAAAATAAAAATACATAAAATTCAAACAGGTTAGGATGAGTTCATGGAGAATTATAAATGCTAGGATAAGTATGCTGCATTTTATTCTGTAGCAATCTGGAAGATACTGAAGGTTGTGTTTTGTTTTTATTTTATTTGGGACAGGGTGTCTTCTTTCTATAAAGAAGTAGTTTCTTATATTATTTATAATATGTATATTCTAGTAAGTAAAGGATGTGTATTTAATTTTTGAAAGTTGATGTTTTGCCAAATATTTCATTAAATTTTAAATATTTTCCCATTAGTTTTTAATTATCTTGTATTTGATCTCATATTACATATTTATGGAACTTTATGTGCATTTATAATCTATTACCTTTTTTTTCCTGGATGAATAGTATTTTCAATAGGAGCTGTTGTTCATTTGTACAACTTACAATCTAGAGAAAAATAACTTTTTTTTTCATAGTCGACAACTATTTATGGGATTGATTGTTGCTTTGGATGACAATGGGAAAGCTGAAGGTCAGATGTTCTGGGATGATGGACAAAGCATTGGTGAGTGTAGACTTTCCAAGGTCCCCATATAGCATTCATAAAAATCACATTCTAGAGTCTCAGGATATAATTGGCATTAACTGGAAAGCTATCTTATTTTTGCTAGTTAGTAAAATAATGGTATTGCTTGTGCTTTTTGTGTTATAATAAAAAATATTGCTAAATCTAAGGTCACAAAGGTTTATTCTTTTTTGTTTTCAAATAGTGTCATATTTTAAGCTCTTATATTTAGGTCCTTGAACCATTTTGTATTAATTTTTGTATGTGGTCTGGGGCTATTCTTTGCATGTGGATATTAAATTATCCCAATCTTTTTGTGAAAAGATGGTTCTTTCTTTATTGAATTCTTTTGGTATCCTTGTTGAAAACCAATTGACTTTAAATGTGAAGGTATATTTACATAATTGAGGACACAGGGGGAAAAACCCTTCCCATTTAATAGATATATAATCTTTTTCATTCATTCATTCTTATGCTAGTACTACTCTGTCTTGAGACAGTTACTTTGAAATAAGTTTGAAATCAGGAAATAAACTTCCCTATTTTTCAAGAAAATGCTTTTTTAAAAACAGGTTTCCTCAACCTCAGTAGTATTGGCATTTTAAACTATATATAATAATTTGTTGTTGCTGGTGGTGGCTGGGCTGTTACTTTAATATGTTTAGCAGCATGCCCCTCCTCCTATACTCACTAGATGTCTAAAGCACTCCACTCTTGTAACAACCAAACATGTCCCTAGATTTGCCAAATGTTCCACCAGCAAAAAATCACTGCTATTTGAAACCAGTGTGTTATGAGAATCTAGAGTCTTTTTCTACAGCTTAGCTGATTAGAACTAGATGATGTTATAGTGGGTGAATAACAACATAGTTAGGGTGTGAAATCAGCCCCCTATGGTCAATATATTTCAAAAGTTTAAGAGAAAAAACAAATTTTATATAAAATTATAGGTTTCTACAACAAATAGATTTCAATCTCAAGGTTAAAAATCACTAGTTCCTGCAAGTTTTAAACTTTTCAACTTCTATAGAGAAACTCTTTGCTTCACCAGACTTCTAAAATTCAAATTTAAAGTACCAAAATACAGTGTAAGTATACATTTGATTGAAATTTTCTGTTACCAGGTTTGTAACTATTTGTTAAACGTTTTCTTCCTTACATAAAACTTAATAGTTAGTTCAAGGTTCATTTTAAGCCCCTATATTAACAGAATCTCATACTTTAAAAGGTATTTAAAACTGCTACAAAAGGCTATAGTATTTACTTAGGGTACATTTTCTAGCCAAGACCAAATTTAAAAATATGGTTTCATAATTGTTTGTTCCCATAAGAGTCAGGGTAATTTAGAAAACAAAGAAGAGGCTTTGTCGGTTCAGGGAAAGAATATGTTGTAATAAAGGTAAGAGATGGAATCTTGAGAAGGGCCAAGACAAGAATATGATTTGAAATTGATTTTTACAAAATAGGAGGTATAGAAGCCACATGATGAGAATGAGTAAAGTGGACATCAACTGGGAAGTATTTCAAGGAAATGTGTGGGCAAGAGATCTAAAGATCCTGAACATCATGAAGAAATATTTAGTTTTGATAAACCATGTCACTATCACTGGTGACTTTGTAGAGCCAATTCAGTGAAAAAAGGAAATGAGAGCTGAAGTATAGGAGATGTAGAATTGGATTATGAGTTGAGTAAACAGACATAACAAGCAAAGGCTACCTTTTTTGAGACATATGGCACTAAAAAGGAGATATGGTAACTTGATGTACAAAGAATCAAGTTGAGGATTTGTCAGAATGAAGTGCTTTGGAGCATAATTGGAGTTTGGAGGAGCAAGGAGGATATGGGCAAGAATAGATGGAGTAAGTCCTGGGAGGCAAGAGGGCTTGGGATGTAGAATACTTTGGAAGTATGAGCTAAGTAGAGACAGAATATTAAAGATGAAAATTACAATAATTTTGATGATGATATTGAAAAAAAAATTTTGAACACTTATTTTGCACAAGCAACATGTTCTGTACTTTATTGCCATGAGTTAGTCCTATTTTTTTCCTTCATTTTATGGATGATAAAATGTTAAATGACTTGCCTGAGATTACACAACTACTAAGTGCAAGAGTGGGGATTTGAACCCATGCCAATCTGACGTGAGAGTCAGAATCCCTAACTTCTCTTCTTTACTTGTATCATCATATCCATGTGAGCTCTCATAACTATGTGGTTGCTATGTTGGCACAAAAAATAACTGATCAGTAACCTTCACACTTCTTCACCTATGATAGGAGACCTCTGGTCTTTGCAACCTCCTGACCTTTACCTCCATGTTTCCCCAGCTCCTGTCTTTAGTGCTCCTCAGAGAAGTCAATATTATATTGATCAGTAATTGTGATCCCATTGAGGCATTTTCTGAGTCCATGTAAGATTATCTGCTGCAGTTGAAGTAATGAATAATTGCTTAATCTATTTTCTTGGTTTCAGATACCTATGAAAATGGAAAATATTTTTTGGCAAACTTTACAGCAAGTCAGGTAAGACTTTTAAAATTGAATTTTATAAATTCTCTTCCAGTTAGCTACAGATTAAGCACTATTCATTAACTGTACAGATGTAATATCCCATGTCTTAATAGAAAGACCTCCCTTCCTTTATAAATCATGTTTGTTGACATTAAAATAAGGAAGAAACAGTCCTTATTTTGATAATTACCCAATTTACTATCAATCTATAAAAAGAAACTTGTCGTTTGTATTATATTATACTATGGGGAGGAGGGGAATAAATCCTTATATGTATAACATGTTTTCTGGGATTAAGACAGCATTTTCTGGTGATAAAGTTTTGAAGAATAGATGCTACATTTGCTACTCACTGCACAACAAACAACTGAAAAAATTGAGCAGCATGTAACAATAAACACTTATTTAGCTCATGAGTTTACATTGTTCAGTTGATCTGGGCTGGAGTTGGCTGAGCTTGGCTGGCTTACCTATATCTGCAATCAGTTGGGGTATGGTTAGGCTGCTTGGATGATTCTGGCTGTATTCACTCACATACCTTGGGTCACATGGCTCTTGAGTGATTAAGATGGCCTTATGGGCAAGTCTGGGCATGACTTTTTCAGGATTGTAGAAAAGGGGAAAAACAGAAATATAAATGCCTAAGAACTTCTTATAATCCCCATTTGCATCAAGTTGACTAATATCCCATTAGTAAGTCACATGGCCAAGTCCAAAAACAAAGGTGGGATGGAATGCCCCATCCAGCACCAGAGCTGGAGGGTATTTAAAAATTACATGAAAAAGGATATAGATAAGGAGGAGTAAATAATTTGAGACAGTGATTCAATCAATCTTTCATGCATGTTTTGTGATTCCATGGATAATCTACAAAATTCTAATTAGAGTAGCAAGATCATTTTATGTCAAACCTGGAACTTTCTTTCATTTCCCCCCCCATTGATTTGAACTAAGGAATAGTATAACAGAAACTTATTGTGTCTTTTATACATAATTAGAGGCTCAATGCACGAAATTCATGGAAGAGTAGGCCTCCTTCCTCTGGCTGCTGGCACTGGCTTCCCTCTGGCACCTCGGACACAGTATTCACTCTGGCACCTGGGATCCAGGGTTCCCTTGCAGCTCCAGAAGGACTTCCAGAAGGATGTCCAATCCAATTAGCATATTATGCTTTTATTATTATAGATAGTGCTTCAAGTATGTGACAATGTCTGTCATATTTCCTTTCTGTTCTCTCTTCTTGGAATCATAACCTCCAGGGAAACTTTCTCTGTTTTGTGTTTAAACTAGTTTTCAGATCTGATTATTCTATTGGACTGCAATTAATATTATAGATTTGTCTTAAAACATGGTACCCAGGATGGAGAGAATATCTTAGAGTTGCACTATCCAATATGATAGCTACAATAATTTTGGGTATCATCAAATTTACTATAGCTGGTACTCAGAAAGTAGTCTTCATGAAATGTTTAATTAAAAATAAACAGCAAACCAGTACAACAATAGTAATTTGAGGTATAACATTTTAATGTAGAATATAGGCAATCCACAGATATATTATATATTTTTATCTTTATACTTTATTTATAGAACATATTACAAATCCAGACCATGCACAATAAGTATTTGAATGGCTCAAATGAACTGAAAGTTGGATATATTAAAATCTGGGGGATCCTCTCTACTTATGTGACACAAGTTAATGTCACCTATAACAACAAGCAATTCACGACAACAAATTTCATGAGTGACCCCTACAATCAGGTATGTCTCAAAGGGATGTTGTTATGTCATGAATTAATTTTATTCAGCAAAGTTACCACCACTATTATCATCACTGTTATATTTACTTATATTTGAAAGGTTATAGATATATACAATAGGTATGTTCCAGAAAGGTTGTGACTATTAAATTATATTGTAAATTATAAAATATTAGTGGTCTTCCCCAGTATAATCAAGGGAGCAATGATCAATGGTGTGATGAAATCCTTTCTATCTGTTTCCTAAAGAAACTGTGCTATGTGTTAAGTTTGGTCTCCCAGGCCAGTATAACAAAACTTAATGTATGTGACAGATGCTCAAACAAAGGAAAACATTTCCTAATAAAATTGTTATTGGAGATTTTTCTCCCTTCTTCCTGAAATTACTCACCTCCTGGTCAAATCAGTATATCTTATAGGTTGGTAAAAATTGGCAGAAAATTGGTGGTAATTATAAAAATGAATATATGCTACCTGTGATGTGAGTTCAATGATTTGGTTAGTGGCCATAGCCAAGTAATTGAAGACTAATTTCAAGTAGAGTTATCAAGAGTAACAGCAGAAGGAAAAGAATCCCACTTTTGAACACTAGATCTATCATAAATATGGATTCAGTAACTCACAGGGAGTGGTTTGGAGGGTAAAAATGGATAAGTATAATTCTTGTTTTCTAAAAGATAAAAAAAAACTGTCCTGTTGGTACTTGAATTTTGGACAATGATCCTCTGAACATTCAAACAGATCCTCTCTCTCCAATTTCATTAAATTTTTTAAGTTACTGAGAACTGATTTTTAAAATAATTTTGTTTATTTTCATTTATATTTGACATATATTATTATATTAGTTTCGAATGTTCATTTTAGTGATTAGACATTTCATAACTTAGTAAGTGATCATTCCAATAATCTGACACCCATCTAACACCATACACAGTCATTATTAACTATATTCACTATGCTATATTTCAAATCATTTAGTTCTCTATTTCAGAACATTTTTCCTGGACCATTGAGCTAAAAACCACCCTTTGCAAGTAAATACTCCCAGTTAAAACTGATACAGAAGATTTTTGAACACTTTCTTTTGGGGGAAGTTTGTAGCATATCAGATGCCCATATGTTTTGTGCTGGTCTCAACCTATCAATAACCAAAGTAGTGGCTGGACCAGCTCATGTGGTTCTTATTATGGGTAAAATATGTTTTTCAGTAATAACCATCAGGAAATTGAAAAGATACAGGCTTATAACATAAGTCATGGAAATTTCACAGCACACCTGGGCCATACAAGGAGGTCCTGGTGGTGGTGGGTGGGGGGAGAGAATGGGCAAAAGCCTAGGGTTCAGCTTTTTTTGTTGGGTAGGAATCTAGGGCTTCCAGGGCTCATTCTTTATTGTTGAATTTGACACACGGTGAATTTCAAACTTGAGAAGAGAAACAAACTAGGGGGCTAAGTTGATTAGTTATTGAAATCAACCAAGATCTGGAAAACAAAGGAGCCTCAGTGGGCTGGAAATAGATGCCTTTTTGAAATGGACAGATCTGTCCGTTGAAGCTTAAGTGAGGCACTTGCTTTACACAAAAGAAACAAAAAAAGAAGAGATGGAGGAAAAAAAAAAAAAAAGAAATCCAAATCTCAAGGTTTACACTACATTATTATGTGCCAGACAGTATACTATGTATTGGGGATGGTAATCCCCAATACAGTATACATAGTATTGGGGATTAGGAGTTTAAAGTCTAGTGGCAAAAAAAAAAAGCCTGCCTTTAGGAGTTTAAAGTCTAGTGGCAAAAAAAAAAAGATACTTTTATGAGTGTTGGTTTTAATCAAAGATACCAATTCTTGTGAGCAGTGTAGTTCTGACTAAATGAAGTAGAAAGACACATTTCCGGCACAGGGATTATGCCCACTGCACATCTCTCTATATTCATCTGTCTGGAATCACTGTGACCTGAAAAGGAACCTTCTGTTACTCTCTGGGGAAAAGAAAACATGAACATTATTTGTGTTGTTAAATGTGATGTTCAGGATGTCCTAAAATACCAATGTTATCTCTTCTTTTTTGGCAGACACTAACTATTCAATTGACTTATGGGAATTTCAGTCTGGAAAATTTAACTGAGGTCACTTGGAGTCATAGTTCCGACATTACTACTACACCTATGACCAGTACCGTCTCATCACCATCTCCAGATACTATATCAACTATGAATGCTACCATTACTGAGTCTATTGTTACTAGTTTTGCTTCAAGTACTACTTCTGCTAACCTTAGTACTGCCTTCCCTAATATAACCACTTCTTACCCAACAAGTACTATTGAAGTTACACATAGTACTATTGTTCCTAATACTCCTTTTACTACAAATACTGCTACTGATAGCACTGATACTGCCTTTCCTACCACAACCACTAATACAACTACTCCTTTCCCTATAAATGCTACTACTGATAGCACTGATACTCCCTTTCCTACCACAACCACTAATACAACTACTCCTTTCCCTACAAATGCTACTACTGATAGTACTGGTACTGCCTTTCCTAACATAACCACTAATATAACTATTCCTTCCCCTACAAATACTGCTACTGATAGCACTGGTACTGCCTTTCCTAACACAACCACTAATACAACTACTCCTTTCCCTACAAATGCTACTACTGATAGCACTGATACTGCCTTTCCTACCACAACCACTAATACAACTACTCCTTCCCCTACAAATGCTACTACTGATAGCACTGGTACTGCCTTTCCTAACACAACCACTAATATAACTATTCCTTCCCCTACAAATACTGCTACTGATAGCACTGATACTGCCTTTCCTAACACAACCACTAATACAACTACTCCTTTCCCTATAAATGCTACTACTGATAGCACTGATACTGCCTTTCCTACCACAACCACTAATACAACTACTCCTTCCCCTACAAATGCTACTACTGCTAGCACTGGTACTCCCTTTCCTACCACAACTACTTCTTTCCCGACAAGTACTATTGAAGTTACACCTAGTACTATTGTTCCTAATACTTCTTTCCCTACAAATGCTACTACTGCTAGCACTGGTACTCCCTTTCCTACCACAACTACTTCTTTCCCGACAAGTACTATTGAAGATACACCTAGTACTATTGTTCCTAATACTTCTTTCCCTACAAATGCTACTACTGCTAGCACTGGTACTGCCTTTCCTACCACAATTACTTCTTACCGAACAAGTACTATTGAAGATACACCTAGTACTATTGTTCCTAATACTCCTTTTACTACAAATACTGCTACTGATAGCACTGATACTGCCTTTCCTACCACAACCACTAATACAACTACTCCTTTCCCTATAAATGCTACTACTGATAGCACTGATACTGCCTTTCCTACCACAACCACTAATACAACTACTCCTTTCCCTACAAATGCTACTACTGATAGCACTGGTACTCCCTTTCCTACCACAACCACTAATACAACTATTTCTTTCCCTACAAATGCTACTACTGCTAGCACTGGTACTCCCTTTCCTACCACAACCACTAATACAACTACTCCTTCCCCTACAAATGCTACTACTGCTAGCACTGGTACTCCCTTTCCTACCACAACTACTTCTTTCCCGACAAGTACTATTGAAGATACACCTAGTACTATTGTTCCTAATACTTCTTTCCCTACAAATGCTACTACTGCTAGCACTGGTACTGCCTTTCCTACCACAATTACTTCTTACCGAACAAGTACTATTGAAGATACACCTAGTACTATTGTTCCTAATACTCCTTTTACTACAAATACTGCTACTGATAGCACTGATACTGCCTTTCCTACCACAACCACTAATACAACTACTCCTTTCCCTATAAATGCTACTACTGATAGCACTGATACTCCCTTTCCTACCACAACCACTAATACAACTACTCCTTTCCCTACAAATGCTACTACTGATAGCACTGGTACTGCCTTTCCTAACACAACCACTAATATAACTATTCCTTCCCCTACAAATACTGCTACTGATAGCACTGATACTGCCTTTCCTACCACAACCACTAATACAACTACTCCTTTCCCTATAAATGCTACTACTGATAGCACTGATACTGCCTTTCCTACCACAACCACTAATACAACTACTCCTTTCCCTACAAATGCTACTACTGATAGCACTGATACTGCCTTTCCTACCACAACCACTAATACAACTACTCCTTTCCCTACAAATGCTACTACTGATAGCACTGATACTGCCTTTCCTACCACAACCACTAATACAACTACTCCTTTCCCTACAAATACTGCTACTGATAGCACTGATACTGCCTTTCCTACCACAACCACTAATACAACTACTCCTTCCCCTATAAATGCTACTACTGCTAGCACTGGTACTCCCTTTCCTACCACAACTACTTCTTTCCCAACAAGTACTATTGAAGTTACACCTAGTACTATTGTTCCTAATACTCCTTTCCCTACAAATGCTACTACTGCTAACACTGGTACTGCCTTTCCTACCACAACCACTAATACAATTACTCCTTCCCCTACAAATACTACTACTGCTAGCACTGGTACTGCCTTTCCTACCACAACCACTACTACAATTGCTCCTTCCCCTACAAATGCCATTCCTATCACAACCACTACTACAACTACTCCTTCCCCTACAAATACTACTGCTTCTACCACTGGTACTGCCTTTCCTACCACAACCACTAATACAATTGCTCCTTCTCCTACAAATGCTACTACTGCTAGCGCTGGTACTGCCATTCCTATCACAACCACTACTACAACTACTTCTTCCCCTATAAATGCTACTACTGCTAGCACTGGTACTGCCTTTCCTACCACAACTACTACTACAATTACTCCTTCCCCTACAAATGCAACTAATGCTAGCACTGGTACTGCCTTTCCTACCACAACCACTACTACAACTACTTCTTCCCCTATAAATACTACTACTGCTAGCACTGGTACTGCCTTTCCTACCACAACCACTACTACAATTGCTCCTTCCCCTACAAATGCCATTCCTATCACAACCACTACTACAACTACTCTTTCCCCTACAAATACTACTGCTGCTAGCACTGGTACTGCCTTTCCTACCACAACTACTTCTTTCCCAACAAGTACTATTGAAGTTACACCTAGTACTATTGTTCCTAATACTCCTTTCTTTACAAATGCTATTACTGCTAGGACTGGTACTGCCTTTCCTACCACAACCACTACTACAACTACTCCTTCCCCTACAAATGCTACTACTGCTAGGACTGGTACTGCCTTTCCTACCACAACCACTACTACAATTACTCCTTCCCCTACAAATACTACTACTGCTAGCACTGGTAATGCCATTCCTACCACAACCACTACTACAACTACTCCTTTCCCTAAAAATGCTACTACTGCTACCACTGGTACTGCCATTCCTATCAAAACCACTACTATAACTACTTCTTCCCCTATAAATACTACTACTGCTAGCACTGGTACTGCCTTTCCTACCACAACTACTTCTTTCCCAACAAGTACTATTGAAGTTACACCTAGTACTATTGTTCCTAATACTCCTTTCCCTACAAATGCTATTACTGCTAGGACTGATACTGCCTTTCCTACCACAACCACTACTACAACTACTCCTTCCCCTACAAATGCTACTACTGCTAGGACTGGTACTGCCTTTCCTACCACAACCACTACTACAATTACCTCTTTCCCTACAAATGCTATTACTGCTAGGACTGGTACTGCCTTTCCTACCACAACCACTACTACAACTACTCCTTTCCCTACAAATACTACTACTGCTAGCACTGGTACTGCCATTCCTATCAAAACCACTACTACAACTACTTCTTCCCCTATAAATACTACTACTGCTAGCACTGGTACTGCCTTTCCTACCACAACCAGTACTACAATCACTCCTTCCCCTACAAATGTCATTCCTATCACAACCACTACTACAACTACTCCTTCCCCTACAAATACTACTGCTGCTAGCACTGGTACTGCCATTCCTATCACAACCACTACTACAACTACTCCTTCCACTACAAATACTACTGCTGCTAGCACTGGTACTGCCATTCCTACCACAACCACTACTACAACTACTCCTTCCCCTACAAATACTACTGCTGCTAGCACTGGTACTGCCATTCCTATCACAACCACTACTACAACTACTTCTTCCCCTATAAATACTACTACTGCTAGCACTGGTACTGCCTTTCCTACCACAACCACTACTACAATTACTCCTTCCCCTACAAATGCCATTCCTATCACAACTACTACTACAACTACTCCTTCCCCTACAAATACTACTGCTACTAGCACTGGTACTGCCTTTCCTACCACAACCACTACTACAATTGCTCCTTCCCCTACAAATGCCATTCCTATCATAACCACTACTACAACTACTCCTTCCCCTACAAATACTACTACTGCTAGCACTGGTACTTCCTTTCCTATCATAACTACTTCTTTCCCAACAAGTACTATTGAAGTTACAAGTCATACTACTATTCCTAATGCTAATACCCTTTACCCAGAAAATACTACTACTGCTAGCACTTATGTTACATTTCCCACCACAACCACTCTTTTCCCAACAAGTACTATTAATACTACTACTGCTCTTTCCCCAACAAGTACCAGTACTACTAGCACTAATACACGTCCGATTACATCTATTCCTCCTCTTACAAATACTAAGACTGATATTACTAGCATGCATTCAGTTACTACAATTATTTTAAATACTACCACTGCTAGAAACACAAAAACAACTACAGGTATCACCACAGTTACTTTGATTACAAATGCTACTTCTGAGCAAACTACTACTCAGATCATGTCAACTCTACCTCCTACAAGCACCCCTGGTGTCACCACCATAGATAATGCCCCGACCAGAATCAGTACCACTACTTATCCTCCATCTACCTCTGCCCATGCTTTAAATACCATATCCAGGAGCACTCAAAGCACCACCAATAGAAATACTACCAATATGACAACTCGTGTTACTGACATAAATACTACCACTAGAACCAGCCCAGCTACTAATGGTATAATAATTACTAGTGCTCAAAATATTGCCACTTCCTCACATACAAACACTACAGGTATTAAATCTACTACTGAAGTTAGTGGAAATGCCACCACAGCATATACTACCACCATCACTACATCTGTTTTTAGCACAAAAACTATAAAATCAAACACTACTTCTGACACTACCCTTACAAACACTTAAATTCCAAGTAACACAGTTATTCCCACCACCAATACTATGAAGAGTACAGAGCATTCAGTAAATATTGCTGATGCAGATAACTCCAGGAGTGTTTTTATTCCAAATACTGCAATAGCCTCAGATTCTTTATGTCTTTTCTAGATACCACAGCTATTACAAATGTTACCATGTATGCTTCAAATACTATAAAAAAATACTACTGATACTCTTACTATAGATTTGAGAAGTACTTGTATAAGACATTAAAAGTACTTCAGGAAAAAATTAATCTTAATTATGATATAATCTTATACCCTTGCTGTTACCACTAATGGCTGGATTCACTTACTAGGATCTAACTCTTCTATAGACCAGAAATCACCCAGGTGGAGTTAAATCTGTAAAGATATGGCATAGAGGAGGAGACAGTTTCTGTCTTGGTATCAGAGTTCATAATCTTATTTGCTTTTTATTTTATTCACCAACTTTTGTTTTATTATTTTACTGCCCAGACTCTCCTTCAAGGGGTTAGGATTACCAGTATGTTCTTTGTCTTTCATATCCAAATTCACTATCTTTGATCTATTACTGTACTTTCTTCTATCACCCAGACTCCCTTGAATAGACTCATGTTTGAGTGCTATTAAGGGACTAACTCTAGTATAGTATTTTCAAAATGTAGTTTGGGAACCCATTGAAGCCCCCAAAACTCTTCCTGAGGCCCACAAGGGCGCATCTATTTTCATAATATTATACTTGTTATGTGCCTTTTTCACTTTCATTAGTATACAATGGCATTTTATGGAGATTCTATGCTGTGTGCTATCACCATAGATGAATACAGAGACAGATATAAGAATCTAGCTATCTTCTGTTCAAGCAGGCACTAAACATGTTTACAAAATATAAAATCATGTCATTCTTCCCCCTCTCTTGCTTTGGAAAATATAGTTGTTTTTCACAAAACATATTATTTATGGTAACATAGAGTTGATATATTATTATTTTGAATGAATGAAAAAAAAAATTTACAAAATATTGTACAAACAAGTCCATTTTAATTTATAGTGCAGTAAATATAAATAGATATAACCCAGGGACTATTACTTCAGGTGGATACTCCTTTCCTTAGCTTTCCTTGTCTCAGTTTGCTCATATGTAGGATGGAGTAAACATTGGAGCTGCAATGTTTATAGAAATGCATTTTCAGTCTGTAAAGGTCCATGCAATGTTTATTATGACCATTATGTAACCCCCCCCCCCCAAGTGTTCTTATGTCTACTAGTATTTAAACCTTTTCTTTATTCTTCCCTGTAGCTTTCCTGATAGTAAAGCTGGTCCTTAGTGCTGGTCCTTTATAATAAGGTTGCTTTGAGTACCCTGGTTTTCAAACAAGTTTTGTAAAAGAAACTGTTCTCTGGAGGTGACTGTAGTGTCTCAAATTGCCTTTTGGGAAAAAGGTTGTTTTTGCTTTGTTTTGAGATGAAAAAAATATTTCCATTATATCTTTCTCTTTTTTTTAATTAATTTTTTTTATTGATGAAAGTATTTTAAATGTCCCATTTCCTCTATTCACTCCTTCCACCCTTCTCCCATACCCTATAGTATTTTTCTTAAGCTTTTTATACTTGCTACTATTCATATGTTGCCATCTAGAGAGATCCACTGAGAACAAAATATATAAACAAATAACATAGAATAAAAATTTTGAAATAGCCACTAGAGTTCATATGGACTGTGTGTATGTGTGTTCATGTACATTATATTATATGGCAAATATATTTTCTGCCAGTAAAATGTTCTGTGGTTTGTGTGATTAAATTAAACTTATCAGTGTTTCATAGTTTTCTTCAAAAAGTACTACTATTTGATGGTGATTCACTGAAGGAATGTGAGCATTGTTGCATAGTGAGTTCTTGGTTTAGTGTTGCCCCTGAGTGAGATGTTGAGATTTACAGTATTCTCCCAAAGG